TTGCCCATGTGTCTGTTTTAATGTGTGTGTGTTACACAACAGCAGCAGTGTGTGCAGTAAACAGTCGGTCATGTGCTGCCTGAACAGCAGCTTGTGTAATATCTTCATGGAAAACTGAGAGAGTTTCCACTGTTCAGCAACATGTTCAGCAACATCAGAGCAACATGTTCAGCAACATGTTCAACAACATCAGAGCAACATGTTCAGCAACATGTTTAGCAACATCAGAGCAACATGTTCAACGACATCAGAGCAACATGTTCAACAACATCAGAGCAAAATGTTCAACAACACGTTCAACATGTTCAACAACATCAGAGCAACATGTTCAACAACATCAGAGCAACATGTTCAGCAACACGTTCAACAACATTTTCAGCAACATGAGAGCAACATGTTCAACAACATCAGAGCAACATGTTCAGCAACACATTCAACAATATCAGAGCAACATGTTCAACAACATCAGAGCAACATGTTTAACAACATGTTCAACAACATCAGAGCAACATGTTCAACAACATCAGAGCAAAATGTTCAGCAACACGTTCAACAACATGTTCAGCAACACGTTCAACAACATCAGAGCAACATGTTCAGCAACATCAGAGCAACATCGAAGCAACAAGTTGAACAACTGGAGAACAAAGTGGATTTCCAGAGTAGAACAACAGACTGACAGAGACTAAACACAGCAGGGAGGCTCAGGTGATTGAACACAGGTGAAATGTGAGGGCAGGGCAGACAATCAACAAGGAGGGAAACACAAGACAAAGACAGGAAGTAAAAACACAGTGAACACAGTGGAACTCTACTACAAATTTGAGTCGAATCAAAAATACAAACATAAAGAGTCCATCAGGGTAAACATGATGGTGGGGGCCTCCTGGAGCTCCACAGGAGGGTCATGTGACCTGTTGGATTCAGACTAAAGAACGACCTCATCAAAGTCAGACTCTCCGTGTTCAGTAACATGACCACAGGCTGACACAGAGACACTGTTCCACTCTTCATCCACCAAGTGTCACACTTCACCTGAGGCAACATCAGCACTGAAACATGAGGAACCACTGAACCTGGACCTGGTCCTCCTCCAGACCCTAAACCAGGACCTGGACCAGGAGTCTGGACCAGGGGCTTCTGGGAGTTTTTAACTGGGAGGGGGAACAATGTGTTGTTAATGTTCACACAGCACAGAAGACAAATTATATCAACAAATATTCTAATAATAATAATAATAATAATGATAACAATAATAGACTTAAACAGCTGCCTGTTGATGTAAAGCTTTTATATTTAATGACAACAGAAGCATCATAGAAACTCAGAATGACTGACACTGTATTTATATTTATATGAATATTAATATTTATTTATTAATGTTTATATTTATATTTATTTTATATTTATATAAATGTTTATATAATATGAATGTTTAACAGTGTGTTACAGAGTGTCTGTCTTCCTCTCAGGGTCTGGTGGGAGGGACACCACGCAGCCGCGCGCAGAGTGCTCATGCACAGCAACGTCGTCACTAAGAAAGCTTTGAATACATTTACTGAGATTAAAACTCACAGAGCGACTTCTTCTTCACTGCAATACTGCGACTGTCCACTGCTCCGAGTGGCGGCGTTGTGTCCCCGTCCCTCAGTCCGTCCATGACATCCACCTGGAACCTGTCGGCTGCTACGTCTTCACTCGGGTTTACTCGGGTTTACTCGGTGTTCCTCGGTGTTTCGTACCGGGAGGCAGCCCCTGTTTGATGAGGTAAGGCTGCTGATGATCATGCTTATTGATCAGTTATCAATCAGTGTTTGTTGACTAACGTTGTGCTGCTCAGTCACTTAGTGATAATATGATGATTCTGTAATGTCGCAGTGATGTGACGTAATGGCCTCAGTAAGAGAGCTATTATTCAAGCTTTATTTACTTCATGTCGTTGTTTAGACTCAGAGGGTTTGTGTCGTTGCCTGGTAACCAGACTCAGACCTGGACTCTGTCAGACTGTTAATGAGGTGAAGCTCGTTAACATTCAGGGACAGAGGAGACTTCAATCTCTCATCAGGTTTGTTTGTTTGTTCTGCAGTGAGTGTGTGGTTGAAAGCTCCAGAAAAAAAATTAGTAAGTGGACCTTTGAGCTGAGAGTTAAGTCCTGTTGCCCCCCCCCCCCTCGTAATCCAGTATGAAGTCCTGGACTAAGTGGACCCTAGTGATCCTGCTGGTCTGGCTACTCCTCTTCCTGTCCCTGCTGTGTCACATCCTGGACCTCAGATCGACCTCAGCACCTCAGACCAGGTCTGCTGCGGAGTCTGGACTCATCAGAACTGAAACCCGCCACCTGGCCTCTGTTATTCAGGGAGGGACCAGGACCCTTGGCTGGTCTTTGAGACCTGCTGGACCGTCATTGGACTGGAGGAGGAGGAGGACTGACTTCAGGTCCAGGTCTAGGGACTACTACAGGAGGCGGTCTCTGGAGATCCTGCAGAGACTGTGGACCGGGAACCTGACTGCGGGGATGCTCAGTCCTCGGCTCCAGAAGGTTCTGAAGATCCAGCTGAGCTCCAACAAACACCAAGTGGTGTACCGGGGCCCCAGAGGGGCCCGCAGGTCCACCCTGCAGCTCTACTGTGATTTGAAGCAGAGGACCAGGATCCGGACTCTGGACGGGACCGAGGAGCCGTTCTCCGGTCTGGGCTGGGACCGGCTGGTGCCTTCACTGACCCTGGAGGAGCTCCGGAGATCTCAGTATCAGAGCTGTGCCGTGGTGACTTCAGCTGGAGCGCTCCTGAACTCATCGCTGGGGGTGGAGATCGGTAAGACCACATACAGGAGCAGGAGGGAGGGGGACCAGTTAGACCACATAGAGCAATGGGCGGGGCGATGCTGCCCTCTGCTGGTGGATGAAGAGAATTAGTTTTTCAGTTCTCATGAATTCTGCTGAAGCAGAACTGGACTGTTCTGTGGCAGCGTGAACGACAGGTGAGACAGGTGAGGCTCAGGTGTGACAAGTAAATAAAGACAATCAAACTTTAATCAAACTGTTCTTTTCCTGTTGGACTCAGATTCCCATGATGCAGTTCTTCGGTTCAATGCCGCCCCCACCAAAGGCTTCGAGAGGGACGTGGGCAACAAGACGACTATCCGCATCATCAACTCTCAGGTAGAGGCTCCGCCCACCAACCTCAACTGAACATCACCCAGTTCTCTTTCTCTTTCTCTCTTTTCTTCTTCTGTTCTTTTTCTTTTCTCTTTCTGTTTTCCATCTGTCCATTATTTTCTTCTTTTTTCTTCTTTCATTGTTTTTTTATTTTTAAATTCTTTTCTTTCATTCCTCTTTGTTTTGTTTCATCAGGTATGAAACCTGTCGTCCTCTGACTCATGTGTTCATGTCCTGTCTCTGTGTGATGGACCTGGTCTCTGTCTCTCTCTCTCTGTCTCTTTGTCTCTCTGTCTCTGTCTGACTCTGTCTCTGTGTCTCTGTCTGACTGTCTCTCTGTCTCTGTGTCTCTCTGTATCTGTGTCTCTCTGTCTCTCTCTCTCTCTCTCTCTGTGTCTCTCTGTCTCTCTGTCTGTCCTCAGATCGTGGCTCGGCCCAGACACAACTTCAGCAGCAGCTCGTTGTACCAGGACATGACTCTGGTGGTCTGGGATCCGGCTCCGTAACCTAGAGACCAAATCACTCTATCATAAGCTCTAGGTTTTTTTCTTTCCTCTATTACTCTAAAAAGATAGACCATAATTCTTTTCCCGCGATACTACAGTTATACCAAATTGAGGTATATTAACTTTAATTTGAACTTTTATGTATTAAATATCTATTTAAAAGCCACATTTTGGTTGCTATGATTTGGGGGAAACACAAAACACACGTACATTAATTAGGGAGACACAACTCAAGTGAGATCAAAGAAAAATAATGTTTAAGTTTGTGTTCATCCCATGCATGGGCTGCTTTACTTCGTGTAGCAGTCTGGTTGACATCTACACCATTTTTAACAAAACCTGTTTTTTTGTTCACTCAGGTTAATTTGGAGGAGAACTCCCAAAACTGGTGGTAAACTCACAATGAAATAAATTTATGTCCTCAAATCTGTTTGTTGTGGTGGGGGGGTGTGAAGACCAGAGCAAGAAAGGAGGGTGGGGGGGGGTGATTATCGACCTCAGCGTCGTGAGGAGGAGGAATATCATATTGATTATATATTATTAATCTGCTAATAGTAAAAATAAAAACCGATTCACTCACAGTTTCAATGTTTATTAGATTCACGTCTGATGTTTGTCATCAAGAGGAAACATATAGGAAACACAAGTGTGTGTGTGTGCTTGCGTGTGTGTGTGTGTGTGTGTGTGTGTGTGTGTGTGTGTGTGTGTGTGTGTGTGTTCAGTGGTTCCAGAAGCCGGACTTCGATCTGTTCTCGGCCTATGTGGAACGCCGGCGCGTCCGACCCGAGCAGCCATTCTACATCCTCCACCCAGAGTTCATCTGGACTCTGTGGGACCTGATTCAGAACAACACCGAGGACCCCATCCAACCCAACCCCCCCTCATCTGGGTTCATAGGTACCAGCAACACGTTGTGACCACAAGAGGCCACCAGGCGTCGCTCTAGAACCTCAGAACCTGAACACGCTTCATCAGTTCTCCTGTCAGTAATCCAGACCAGGATCTGATCTGGTCCTAAGTCCAGTCCACGTCTCATCTCTGTCTTTGTTGTTTAGATAAAAAGGTGGAAGGTCACTGTCACCTGAACGCTGCGTACTGCACTGTGACAACACACCTGTGGGCAGAGCCTGTGTGTTTATAGACATTGGGAGGGACTAACATGCACACCTATGTGCGCTAACATGCACTTAACCATATCCCAGAAACTCAGATTACAGCACACACAGAGGTGGTGTGGCCTCGTCATCAGCTGTTTCTGTGTAGAGTGCTGTGATGTCACTGTGATGTCAGCTGTGATCACTGATATCAGCTGTGATGTCACCCTGATGTCACTGTGATGTCAGCTGTGATATCAGCTGTCAATCATTTCTATAAGGTTTATATATGAAATACTTTAGTTCTCATTAAACTCATTAACTTGTTTGAATAAATAATTAACTATAATAACATGTTAAAACTGCTGCATCAACATGTGGGACTTTGATTTTTAATTCAAACTTTAATTGTTTGTGTTTACAGCTGATGTTTTCATTAAACTGACTGATCATTGGTTCAGCTGGGCCTCTGTACTTCTGTCCAGGCTTTGCCTCCAGCTTCTCCGGAGTGACATCACTTCACCGACATTCAAAGTCACATCGAGCACACATCAGTCATAGGTTTCCAGCAGGCGGGGCTATCGTGTCACGTGACACCACAGGGGGTGGGGGAGTCTGTTGGCCATGCCCCTCAGCTTTCAGTTCATCATTAATTGTCTTCATGAGGAGACGTCAGGGGGCTCGGCCGGGTCCGTTTTGTCGGACGCCACAGAGCTGGTTCCCTCCACCTCCACCGCACAGGGTCTAGTGACAGCGGGCGCGGGGCCGAGGCCAAGGGGGCTGCCGTCACAGACTCGGCGGTTGAGCTGGACCATGGTGGTCTTTGAGGGGAGGGAGGAGTGTCCGTTCTCCGTCAGGTGGTGTTTACAGTGGAGCAGGATCAGGAAGCAGCGATAGAACTGAGGAGCACAGACACGACTCATGTCAATATAATAATAATAATAATAATATTACTATTATTATTAATAATGATATTAATAATAACAATGTTAATAATAATAATAACATTCGTAATAATAATAACAATAACAATAATAATAATAATAATAATAATAATAATACTTTTCTACTGATTCTACTTCCTGATGTTTGTGTTTGTTCCTGTGTGTCAGGGATTCTGCTGATGATGTCACTGTGTCGTGAGGTCAGCGTTTACGAGTTCATCCCGTCTTTGCGTCGCACAGATCTCTGTCACTACCACGAGCGCTACTATGATGCTGCCTGCACTCTGGGGGCGTACCACCCCCTGCTGTACGAGAAGCTCCTGATCCAGAGGCTCAACGAAGGGGAGGGGGGCGAGCTGAGGAGGAGGGGGCGGGTCACCCTGAGGGGCTTCAGCTCTCTCCAGTGTCGGACGTGATCCAGATCTGACGGAGAGACGACTTTTCTCAGAGGTTCAGTGAACCTGCCTCATGCTGCCTTCAGGAGCCGCTGGGACATTTAGCGTCCTACAGGATAATGACTAGTTTCCATGGCGATGTAGTTTTAACCTAAAGAAGCAATATTAGACACTGGTTCATGGAGCTGATTGTGTTAATTATGTTTAGTTTATTCAATGTGAAGCTTATTGACAGAAGGTTACCGATAATCGATCATTTTGTTCAGACTTAAAAAATAATAATTTAACAGGATTTTTTAAACTTTCTGCCTTGTTTTAAATAAACTTCTTCTAACCCGGGTTCAGGGTTCAGGTTTCGACTTGACCTCCAGACAGGCTTCAATCAAACGATGCGTTCACTGCCGTGTGAATGACGGACGTGGTTTCTCACGTTCATTATGGCGGACTGAAAGGATCTCGTGGACGTGTTTCTTAGTGGGACCGGTCAGCTGTGACAGGACGCTGCTGTAGACGGACGCTGATGCCCCCTTATGGAGGAAGACTTGACGTGCTGCCAAAACCTGTCCTGGGTGAGAACGAGGGTCAGACGGCTGACACGCTGCAGAGACTTGTCTGAGTTGGTTAATTAACAGAAGAATCAACAGTCAAACACAGATCACATCTGATTTTCATGTTGCCATGGTGATTCAGATCAGTCTGCACTTATTCTATCGATGTAAAAGGTTCCTGTCGAGAACGGGCAGCTGCGGTGTTCAGTGTTATAATGTCTGGATAAAAAGCTCAGTGTTTTCTACTCAAACTAATTAAAACTAGCAGTTTGTAACAGCTGCGTGAGTCTTCTTCCACCTGTTTGTTCACGTTAGTAACTATGTTAGCTCGCCAGGCTAATTAATTAGCCTACCTTAGAAACACAGCAACAGAAAACAACTGATAAATAAATGGACATTAAAGGCTGATGGAGAAAGTACAACATGTATTTCCTCCCCCAGAGAGGAAGCCTATTTCAAAAACTTTCTTTACCCCCTTATTTTCAGTGTTTAGAGAAGTTTGATTTGAGACTTCAGTAAATACACTGCTGACTGGATTTTACACCACAGCACCTTTGTTCACAAAAACATTATTTAGGCTATTTTTTTTCTCAACTGCATTTTTTCCATTTTGTTTTGAAATTATAATTTTTTAAAATAGTTTTGTTATTATCATTCAGTTATAATTTCATGAGTTTCTATTTAATTTTTTTTAAGAGGCTAAAACATGTTTTTACAGCAGCTCATCACTCAGCCTCTGTGAGCTGAACTAACCCCGAATAACCCGACCTGTCACTTTAAGACAAAACATCAGTATCCTGCGACTGTCTGAGAATCTACCACCTGAGACAGCTCACCTGTTTGTTCATGAGTATGTAGATGACGGGGTTGATGACGGTGCTGCTCTTGGCGAGGATCGACGGGATGACACTGGCGACGGGGCTGATGAGTCCCGGCCGGCCGAAGGTGGCCATCATAGCGACAACGCCGTACGGCATCCAGCAGAGCAGGTAACACACCACCGTGGTGATGACCATGAACAGAATGTGAAACTCTCTGCGACGAGCCGCCGTCCGCCTGATACGACCCACCTGACAGACAAAACACAGGGCAGAACCAATCAGACGTCCTGACGTACAAAAAAAAGGGCATGAATAAAAAACGTTACATATTTAATGCTAATGTTTCAGTTGTGACGTCAGATGTAAACCTGCTGAGTAACTGTTCATTAATTAAACTCATTAACCTCATACACTGAAATCACTTCTAAAGTTAATGGGAACCAGCAAAGTCCAGGTCCAGGTCCCCACGTCTCTGCAGCTCTTTTGAATCTGAGGAATGCGAGTTTGATCATGTGACTGGACGCTTCACTGACCCGTCAGATTGATGATGTTCACCCTGAGTCTGGACTCACAGGGTTCAACAGAGCTGTGTGTTTACAACCCACTCAGAAAAAAGAAAAAAAGAAAAACATCTGACTGATTAGAAATCACCGAAAATAGTTGAGAAAAAATAATTAAAAATATAAACAGAAAACTAAGATAAAAATACCATAAAATAAAAGTAAAAAAATGTAATTTAATCAAATTTCATGAATAAAAGTGAAAATAAATAAATACATGAGTCTTTTTAATAAAAAAAAAAACAACCTGATTTATGTTCAAATATTAATGATGATTTTATATGAAAACACTTTGATCTGTTTGACACATGAAGATAATTGATTGATTCACCAGAGCTGAAGACACTACTGTCACACAGGTCAAACTGTGTCTTGTTCTGAAGGAGACAGGAAGACAGATCAGCCGACTGACCTCTAAACTGTGGAGCTGAGGTTTGAATCCAGTGACATCCACGCACTGGAGTTAAAGACACATGAGTGACTTCTAATGATTTTATCTGGACCTGAAGAAATCATCAGTTATTGATTGACTATTATTTATTAATTAATTCATCTGAATCTGTGAAGCTTTAAAACAAATGTCCTGAAGTGAAAGACAACATGTGGGACTGTGTCCTGATGCTGGACCTTGTGTCTGAGATCGTGCCTCTCTCTGATTTGCTCAGGCGGTCAGGTGACCCACCTGTTTGACGGCGTGGAGCAGGCATCCATAGCAGTACACCATGACGAGGACGGGCAAGCCGAGGCAGAAGACGAACAGACAGACGATGTAGGAGTGAGAGCGAGACGTCCTCTCCGTCCACGTCACCGAGCAGCTGGTCCCCGCCCCCTCCAGACCGTAGCTGCTCCAGCCCAGCAGGGGGGGCACCGTCCACACCACCGAGTACAGCCACGACCCCCCCACCGCCAGCAGGGGCCGCCTATAGTCCGGGGCCCGCTTGTTGTACACCATCAGGGTGCTGTAGCGGTCGTAGGACAAGACGGACAGAGAGATCAAAGACACGATACCTGGAGACAGGAAACAGGAAGTGTTCTCAGTCCGCAAAGATCCAACCAAAGCACGAGTCAAGACACGAGAGACAAAGAGACACAAAGAGACAAAATTACAGGAGACAACAGACATGAAGACACGAGTCAAGACACGAGAGACAAAGAGTCAAAACTACAGGAGTCAAATCAGATACAGGGATGAGTCGAGGAAAGGTTCGGTCTCTGCAGGACCCTGGTTTAGTGTGAACCGGTTTACTGGTTCAGTCAGCTGATCCTGATCCTGTTCAGGTCTGTTGATCCTGGACTTTGTTCTCTGACCTTTAAATCCTCCGTCAGGTCTCATCAGGTCTCATCACAGACCGGATTCATTCCAGCAGCTCTCAAGAATCAGCACCTGGTCTCAGGACCAGGACCTCAGGACCTTTTCAGACCTTTACCACTAAACACACCTCACTCTGCATGTCCAGAGTCCAGAGTCCAGAGACAAGAGTCCAGAGTCTAGAGACAAGAGTCCAGAGACAAGAGACCAAAGTCCAGAGTCCAGATTCTAGAGACAAGAATCCAAGTCCAGAGACAAGAGTCTAGAGACCAGAGTCCAGAGACAAGAGTCCAGAGTCCAGAGTCAAGAGTCTAGAGTCTAGAGACAAGAGTCTAGAGACAAGAGTCCAGAGACAAGAGTCTAGAGACCAGAGTCCAGAGACAAGAGTCCAGACACAAGAATCTAGAGACCTATAGACCAGAGACAAGAGTCTAGAGACCCGAGACAAGAGACCAGAGACAAGAGACCAGAGACCCGAGACCTACAGACCAGAACAAGAGTCCAGAGCCCAGAGACCAGAGACAAGAATCCAGAGTCCAGAGACAAGAGTCCAGAGACAAGAGTCCAGAGACCTATAGACCAGAAACAAGAGTCCAGAGCCCAGAGATCAGAGACAAGAATCCAGAGTCCAGAGACTAGAGACAAGAGTCCAGAGCCCAGAGATCAGAGACAAGAATCCAGAGTCCAGAGACAAAAGTCCAGAAACCTATAGACCAGAACAAGAGTCCAGAGCCCAGAGATCAGAGACAAGAATCCAGAGTCCAGAGACCAGAGACGAGAGTCCAGAGACCAGAGACCTACAGACTACAGACCTATAGACCAGAGACAAGAGTCCAGAGACAAGAGACCAGAGACCTATAGATCAGAGACCTATAGACCAGAGACAAGAGTCCAGAGTCCAGAGACAAGAATCCAGAGTCCAGAGACCAGAGACTTATAGACCAGAACAAGAGTCCAGAGCCCAGAGATCAGAGACAAGAATCCAGAGTCCAGAGACCAGAGACAAGAGTCCAGAGACCAGAGACCAGAGACTTATAGACCAGAAACAAGAGTTCAGAGTCCAGAGACCAGAGACCTATAGACTGGAGACCAGAGACCTACAGACCAGAGACAAGAGTCCAGAGACAAGAGTCCAGAGACCAGAGACCTATAGACCGGGTCAGCAGGACTCACCGAAGCAGGAGTTGATGAAGCCGTACCACATGCAGCCGTGTCGGCCGTACAACCAGCGCGTCCTCAGGCTGGAGGCGAAGCTGAGCGTCGTGCCGCAGACGCAGACCAGCATATCGCTGACGCTGATGTTGAGCAGCAGCATGTTGACGGGGGTCCGCAGAGTCTTGAACTTGCAGAACAGAACCAGGACCAGCAGGTTGTTGAGGAAGCCGAACACCATGATGGAGCCAAGAAACACCGACACCACGCGGTGACCGCTGCGCGACAGCCGCACGTGCGGCGTGTCGCTCCAGTCCTGTTCCAGAGAGGCCAGCGGCTCGCTCAGGTTGGACGTTAGGTTGATGTCGCTCACCTCCGAGAACATGTCGCCGCGACGTCGGTCGCGCTGCTCCAGCTGTGTGTGCGTCAAAGAGTTCTGCTCGGGCTTTACGCGCAGCGCGCCAAACTCTCTTTGAAGAAAAGAAAGACAAAATGAAGCTGATCGGACTTCACATGCTGATGGTCCTGGACTCGGACTGCACCTACTGGAGGAGAGGCGTCCTGCAACGACGCGCCGGCGCGCTGCGGAGGAGTCCGCCCGCCGCGCTCCGCTCCATCCTCCGCCGGAGCAGCGGCACCGGCGGCGCGAGAAATTAAAGTGTGAGCGAATAATCCGGTGAGATTGTGATGAGTTGAAGATCCTGATCCGGTTCCTCTGTCCCTCCCCCCACCCCTCTCTGAACTCAGACCAGATCTTTCTGTCTCCTCTGCGTCCAGATGGACTGACGCGCCGCTCCACCGCGCCGCTTTAAATACACTCCACGCTGTAGGAGGAGCGGGAATTTATCCAGTATCCAGTACCCACATACACACACACACACACTATATGTGTGTGTGTGTGTGTGTAATCCCGGATTTAACACAATATTTCACATTAGAACTAAAAAAGAAAAATTTAACTTCTTGTTTCAGCACTTTTGACATTTTCATTTTATTTATCCTTGTTGACTTTTATTCATTTTAATTACAAAACAGTATGTTCACATTTATCACTTTGTTTTTATGAATGATTTATATTTGATCATGTAACAGCACATCAGTGTGTCAGTGGTGAGCTAGTCCTGAAAGCGCTAGCAGCTCCAAACCACTGCTAACGAACAATCTTTGATTTTCACAAAGGAATTTTCACTTTCTTGCAGCCATCTGAAGGTCCCAGGGATCTGTCAGAGAAAACCTATGACATGTACCTGGAGGTCAAAGGTCAGTTTGTATGGGGTCACCCACCTGCTGTTAAAGGCCTGTAAATATACAAGGAAGCAAGGAAGGGAGGAAGGAAAGAAAGATGTGGAGGAAGGAACCTTCCTGTCAGATCAGCTGACTTTAAATCAGTTATCTTCATGTTTTGTAGGTGAGGTTTGGGTCAGTTCAGAACTCCCTTTAAAAAAGACCTGAAATAAGAGCAGGCTGATGTGATGAGAACAAGTGTCCGTCCTCTAATTCATATATTTATAAAGGTCAGTGTTTGTGACCTGAGAGCTGTGAACTAACCCAGACTAAAGTAAGAGGACAGACACATGCTGTCATCACATCAGCCGCCTCTTATTTCAGGCCTTTTGTGAAGTTCTGACTGACTTCAGTTAGTGCTGTTAGTGGACCTGTAGTGAGTCGGTCAGCTCAGAACTCTGTTTAAAAAAAGAGCAAAAATAAGAGCGACACTCTTCATGACGAGACTCTCTCGTTGATCATTGAATAAACAAACAACGCACGGGGAAATCCGCAGCTCGATCTGTCGCTCAGGTGTCGTCACTCTGATTCACCTGTGCTCAGGTAGAGAGAGCTTTGACCTTTGACCTCACATCCTTACAGAGACCTCAGGAGTCTTCATCTGAACAAAAACGTGAGAGTCAGTGAACTCATCACCTGTCAGTCCTCATCCTCCGGGACTGTTGATGGTCTGAGGACTGATGGGGGTCAGCTGGGTCCAGGTCTGATGGTCTGACGCTGGAGGTGCTGACAGCTGTGTCTCTCCAGATGGAGCTCCCCAGGGATCAGAGACATGACGGGCGCTTCAGGGAACTCACACAGGGTTGGACGTTTGAGTTGTCGCTCTGCAGGACGATGCGTGGTTTTTATAGAGCAGCGACAAAAACCGGAACAGGACTGATGTGGGTGTGAAAATCTCAAAACCACCAGAGACTAAGGTTGTAAACCTGCACCTGCTCTTCAAACTGAGAGTGACATGGTGATGATGATGATGATGAAACACACAGGTGTGTCTGTCCACACGTCATAACTTCTGGTAAACTATCAGAGTAAAAGAACTGAGGAGCTCAGTTTAATACTGTAACAGACCTGAGATCTCACACACACACACACACACACACACACACACACACACACACACACACCTGATCAGGTTTGATCAGAATCTGCAGTGTATTAAGCCAGCTGTTGTACAGATGTCACACACACTGTGACGAAGTTGTGTGTGTGTGTGAGTGAGTGAGTGAGGGGGTGAGGGAGGGAGTGAGTGAGTGAGTGAGTGAGTGAGTGAGTGTGTTGCTGCTGCTGACATGCCCACAAGCCAAGCAGCTGGCACACATAACAGAGACTTGAGTTTCACATCCTAAGGTTTCACCCTCTGTACAGTGTGTGTGTGTGTGTGTGTGTTACAGTATGTGTGCATATGTGTGTGTGTGTTACAGTATGTGTGCGTTCAGAAGGGGGGTCCAAACAGCTGCTGGCTATGAAACTCTGTCATGTCTTTTCACACGAACTCGACCAATGAGATTATTTTTACTCCCTGCCTCAAGAGCAGGAAGAACACACACACACACACACACACACACACACACACACACACACACACACACACACACACACACACACACACACACACACACAGTAAAAGTTCAGACCTGATCCCACACCCACAGTCAAACCTGGACAGAGACCAGGGACAGTTGGGTCCGCAGGTCCGCAGGTCTGGGACTGAAGGAGTTGTGGGAACATTTCTTCTTCTGTGTCTAATAACAGTGTAGAGTTTCAGCGTGTTATTGAATCTGTAACCTCAGACTATGACATCATCATCTGACATCACCATCTGACCTCCATCAAAACATCAGCTTCTTATTTTCTTTCTTCTGGCCCGAGGACAAACTGACAGAAGACGCGGCAGCTGTGATGTGATCCAGATGCGGGAGAGGACACTGATGTCTCCGCCTCAGGACGTTTAAGACGTGAGCGGAGACGAGCTGATGATGATTTATCCACAGAAGAAGAAACGGTCACTGGGACATCAGCATGTGGACTTCCTGTCAGGAACAGGAGCTCTGGTTGTGTTGGACCCTGCCGGTCCAGGGGTTTCACTTCAGTCCTGGGTTTGACCCCTGACCCTCAGGTCCCCTGTCCTGTTCAGTCATCCAAACCTGGGTTCAGCTCAGGTGAACTGATTCATTTATTTAATCAATAAATGAATTTATGATAATGAGATAAATTTAATTAGTGAACTCAGAGACTACAGAGGTTTTTCCATCAGACAGTCTCAGCTTCAGAGCGGAGGGAGATACAAGGTTTGGACAGGAAACACACGGGAGCAGCAGGTGTTGGTCCATCAGACCTGGTTCTGGTCTGAAGTGGACTCACCGCCTCGTCGCAGCCCAGCTTCATGACCTGCAGGATCCACTGCTGAACATCTGGCCTGCTCCGCTCCCAGATGTTCCTCCTGGACAGCCGTCTGTTCAGGAGCCCATTGACCTGACAGTGGCCGCCGACACCACTCCCACCCACGACCACCTGCCCGCTCCCCGACCAACAAGTGTTACCATTGATTTTCAGAATAAAAGCCTCAGCCACAGAGTGTGAAGGTCAGGTGGACGACAGCGTGCCTCAGGCCTCATCATCATCATCATCATCATCATCATCATCATCATCATCATCAGCTGTGCATCTAAATACAGATGTTGTGTTGGTCAGCCAGCTGAGGCGTCGCTCTCACTCTCAGCAGGAAGTGTGAAAACCACCGCAGGCTGATCTGAGAGCAGCTTGACTTCCAGATGACTTTCACTCACTCACAGTCCGAGGTCAAGTTAATGATTATTATTATTAATTATTATTATTATTTCATTCAGAGAGGAAGAGTCTCTCAGGTCAAATTAATTATTAATATTAATTATCATTATCATGATTATTTATATTAGTTCAGTCAGAGAGGAAGAGAGTCTGAGGTCAAAATTATTATTAATGTAAATTTTTACTATTGTTTATTATTATTTAAAAAATAATATTCGTGACCCATTCGAGCCAATGACTTACAGGACCTGGTCCATGTGGATCAGTGAGGGACGGGGGGGGGGGGTTACAGTTAATTAGCTTCATTAATATTCAAGCCGATTCTTTCAGTAGCTGTTTTATCATCAAAGCTTCAGCAGGTGAGCAGCAGTCAGACAGGTGACAGGTGAGAGCTAGCGTTAGCAGTTAGCTCTGTTTATTATTAATCATATGGTGTCAGTCTGTGTCTGAACATCAGCTGTTTCCCAGCAGGACGTCCTCATGTGTCTCTGGTGTGAAATCTGTCCCTGCAGCCAGTCGTCTCACACTTCACCCCAGTTTATTCCAATCATGTGGCTCAAACAGCTGGAAGTCAAGCTAGCTTCAGAGAGAAAGCTCTGCTGCCGCCACAAGAGATGGATAGAGAGATCGATATATCGATAGATAGATATAGATCAACGGAGAGATGGGTTGCTGGATCGATACTTTATTTATCCTCTAGGGGAAATTCATGTAATGAAATACATGATGAACAGGGATCAGAGCCTTTATGTGACAGAAGCTGTTCTGAGATAAGATGTCACTTCAGTATCGATCTGATTTTGTTTTTACCTTTAACCCAAAGTAACGACTTTACATCCTCCACTCTCTGACTGCAGCCAGGAGACTCACTGTAAAACTTCCCGCTGCTGGTAGTTTTCACAGAACTGTCTTTTCACTCTGATTTGTTCTTTCTTTTAAATCTGTAGAGTGAAAGCTCAGACTCTTCAGGGGGCTCAGGAGCTTTCTGACTCTGACTGAGACTTTTACAAGTTTCCCTCAGAGTCTTCACTTTGGGTGATAGAACTCAAAGTTCACCGATTCAGACCAGGACCACCTTGAGAGACAGGGACAGAAACAAAAAACAGTTCCTGCCCTGGAGAATTTCAGTCCATCCTCAACCACCTGGGTCCTCATGGACAAAGACACTGTACGCCCGAAGTCTTTCAGTGAATCAGCTCAGTCACATTCTCAAAGACAAAACACTGATGCTCACAGTGAGGCTTTTATTGTGAAAGGACAAGGAAAAGACTGCTTTCAGTTCATCTGAAACGCATCATCACTCCCCCCTCTGCTGTGGCTCTGCTGGGGGGGGGGGGGGGGTTCTGCTCACCTGACCTGGATTCTCCATCAGGTCAAACGTTCTTTTTTAATCTGACTGTTAAAAACCTGGAGACAAACACACAGTATGAACCCACTGATGAAATGTTGGTGGCAGTGAAGAGCCTGATGTTTCCCAGCAGCACCTGAACGCATCAGCTTTTCAAAACAATCCACACTACCTCAATGAAACTTTAAAGAGAAAAAAAAATCAGTGAGTTTGTCATGTTTGTTATCAACCTGCTAAAACACTTTGGAAGAAGTTTAAATCCGTCTTTCCTCCATGTGTTCAACATAAAAAGTGTCTCTGCATAAATAACGTGCTTAAAGCATCAGTCTGTGGGGGGTGGGGGGTCAGGACTGAGCCAGCTCCAGTCTGCTCTCTGAAGATGACGGAGCTTCGATGATTTCTCCAGATACGAACAAGTCCTGAAACAGAAGAGAAACTTTTTTTCAGACAGACAGACAGACAGACAGGAGACAATCCAGACTGTCTGTCTGTCAGACTGAACTGATTCACTTCGGTCCAGTCCTCATATGTTCGTACTGTAGCTGAAGGTAACAGCTGTTCCACCAGGTGTGTCTCTTCACTCACCTTATCGTAGATGACTTTAACAATGAGGGAGCAGCTCGGACACGGCGCCACCTCCTCTCCGTTCTCCAGATCCTCCTTTAAACCGACACACAGACCCGTGAACATGTTTCCTAATGTCTCCTGGTCCTTCACTGTCACACACAGCTCTATGTGTTAATACCACCGACCTGCAGACTCACCGGTACAAGATCAACGTTAGCTGTTAGCCATTAGCTTGCAGGAAACTTACTTTAGTGATGGCGAATCTGTCTCCGCAGGGACAGGGGAAGTAATATGTCTCCGTGTCCTCGTCATATTCAAAGTCCTCGATCTCGACTTCGTCGTGAAAAACCGACATTTTACCGGAAACGTGAGCTCAGAAAATAACAGGAAATCTTCATTACTAGCGTGTGCTGAGGCGCGCCGTGATGACGGCACAGCCAGTTGTCTCAGACCAATGACGTTTTCCTACCTTTTTTTCCTGCAGAACTTTACGACAAAAACACGAGGCGGCGAACAGACAACCAACGAGTTAAAACAATAAATGAATAAATGAATGAATAAATTAATAAATAACAGTTTGAAGCCGTGTCTCCAGCTCTGCATAAAGTGCCTGGTCGTGTCCACCAGGGGGCGCCATCAGACAGAAGACAGTGTCTGTCCGACACTAAAACCTAGAAATCTGCTTTTTGTGTTAAGTTCTGCAGAGATGGAAACAGACTGAGTTAGTTCATGGACTTTATTTCATTGTTTGGTTATTTCCATTCAAGTATGGTTTATATTAATTCACTACATTTATCCAAAGAGCGATTCATACTCTGTTATTACTGTCAAACTGAACTCCCTTCAAAATGGATAAATTATATACAATCATCCATTGGCAACATGAACCTGATAGAATCTATGAATGATCAGTTCTATGAGATACTCTGTAGTGTTAAAGGGATGATGCAGACCTGAAACCACCTGAGGACCTAATGATGAGCAGAAGCTGCTCACCAAGGAAATATACCACTGAAGGCAGGACTCCTTAAACTCCAGAGACTCTGAATGGAGTTTGGTGTGAAGAACAGAATGAATCTGAGGTTCTTCGTTCAGGATCAAAAAATCTTTAATTAAGAAACATAAAAGCAGTTTAATAAATAATAAACAATAAATCCCATCTGTCAATAAACCGGACTTGTCTTCTTCCTCTGGAAACTTCCACAAAAATCACGTAGAAAGAAATTTTCTTTGATGCTAAACACAGATGAACATTGTTCACTGGATGATCTGAATATGTCGAATGTGTCAAACTGACCAGTGAAAATATTGTCTGTACACGATGTGAATGTACCACGTGACAGAGATGATCTTAAAGGAATCACTCTCACCTGACATGTGGAGAGAGGCGGGAACTCCTGGACTGACAAACAACCATTCACACCTCCAGGTGATTCAGTCACCAGTTGACCTGAGGTGACCTCAACCTCAGGTTCAGTGTTTGTGACGTCATCATAAATAACAACAGACAGAGGTTTTACTACAACAGGACTTTTATTTAACAGCATAAACCTTTCCAAACGTGGAGAAAAAAAGAAGTGAGAGTCAGACTCCATCACAGTCACTCACAGGAATATTAACTGCATTATGGTTGTATAAGTGTTGTTGTAGAAACTAGAATATTCTTCAAATATAAACAGGAGCTGCTGAGTTTCATTTGGAAAATAAAGCTATTCTTGACTCTATCACGCGGCTTTTAATTTGAAAAGTATCCCCGTTTACTCTATGAAGCGCCTGCGAATTAAAGGCTTTCGGTCTATATAAACGTAGATATCAGCGGAGGACGCAGTAGACATGTGTCGCCACACAAGGGCGCCAGCACCAATTTAATTTATAATTTATTTAAGGCTCCTCGAAATACTACATTTAATAAAAACCGTAAATCATATCAGCCAAATTTCCACACCATGGGCGCAAAATCCCCTTCCTGCACACACCTGTCTATTGTGGTGTTTCTAGAGCCAGAAATGTGGAAACAGGAGCGAATTAAAGGCTTTCAGTTTGTATAAATGGAGATGTGGGCGGAGGACGCAGTAGACATGTGTCACCACAAGAGGGCGCCAGCGCCAATTTAATTTATAATTTATTTAAGGCTCCTCGAACTCCTACGTTTAATAAAAACCACAGAACCAGTTTATGACTATGTGAAGCAAAGCATCATGGGTCACCTGTCTGTGAAAATTCATGCCTATAGCCTCAACAGTTTTTGAGATATTAATGATTTCATTTAATTATTTAAACCATCTGACCTAGTTTCTCAGAACCGGCGCTTTCTAAAAAGTCCCGCGTGAGTCACTGACTTCGATACACTGACATTTAAAGTTATGAAATATGAGTAATATTCTTGCCGTTTGTCTGGCGCATTCTTGTGTGTTTATCGATCGCTTCTCTTCCGCATTCTTTCCCAGTGACGTCTAGAGCGACGTCACTCTAATTCGATTGAGTGCGAATACGGGATGCGAACTGGCGCTTCACTGCTCTGCAACTAAGCACTGCTCACACGGCAGGTGTCTTAACCACTCAGCTATAAGGAAGGCGTCCATTGGCTTTTAAATCACCGTTTATAAAGATCAGTTCAATTTATACAGACAGCGGAGATATGGCACAAATTAACCTCTTCAACTACTGCCCTTTACTACTTAAACCGTAAATCGTATCAGACAGATTTCCACACCATGGGCGCAAAATCACCTTCCTGCACACACCTGTCTATTGTGGTGTTTCTAGAGCCACAAATGTGGAAACAGGAATGAATTAAAGGCTTTCGGTCTGTATGAACGTAGATATCGGCGGAGGACGCAGTAGACATGTGTCGCCACACGAGGGCGCCCTCCACCTATTTATGACTAAGTGAAGCATAGCATCGCGTAATTTCATAAAGTATCTTTAACGTGTCATGTGTAAAACTCGCGCTGTGTACATCACAGGACACCGTAGTGTAAATGTCTCTTTCCTTAATGTGCCATATAATAAAAAATGTACTGTTAAATTAAATACAAACACGATGAAGAAGAAACCACCAGGGAACAAAGACAGTGATGGACTTTCACATACGTCCAGTTAAATAGGGCTGAAGGTAGGATTCATTAAACTCCAGTGAGAGTGAGAACATCAGTGTTAATTACAGCAGAGTCATTCTGATTAAATATTCAGTGCATTTGAAAGGATGATCTGAAATTCGGATTGGATTAGATATACGATGAGCTCCATTCAAAGATTTGTAACTTCTACGTCCTCTGGCAAAAAGAAATGAGACCTTAAGACCTACTGTTCAATATCAGAACCATATTAAATATTGAGAGCTGATTAACAGATGATACACACACTGAACTCAACAGGAATCCTCAGTGATGAGTGGAAGTTCTTAAAATGCTTCCTGCTCACTGTGGATTTATTTCACTCAAGGCTCAAACCTTCAATCAATAGGAATTTCAATGGAGTTATATACAGTATATATATATATAAATTATTGTTATGATTTATGTTGATTTGTTTTGTGTTTAACTATATGAAAATGTTTAATGGCATACTGACTGTACAACACAATTCTACTTAATAAAATAATTACAGGAGACGTGTTGAACTGCAACTTTAACAGACAGGAAGTCACATCAAACTTTATATACTGAGACAGAGTTTAGATCACAGATGCTGAACTTAAAGATTCATGATTTCTGATGTTTATATGTTTTGTTTGTTTGCTTGTTTGTTTGTTTGTTTGTTTGTTTGTTTTCTGGGTCCAGAGGTGAAAGGTAACATCATCATCAAAAGACCAAAGAGCTTTAAAGGTTGTTTTCTCAGCGTGAAGATCAGCATCTTGATGTGTCTGAGGTCGTCATGGAAACCACACAACCTTCGCGTTTCCTGTTTTCTCAGCCGTAATGAACTTGAACAAAGCCTGATGCAGACACCATGTTTCTGTTGGCTCTGCCTGGTAACGCTGCGAGGGGGGGGAACAAAGCAGGGAAGCAGAGCGAGCGATGCCATTAACTTCAAACGCCTTTCAGACAGAGATGTGGGCATCAACATCCTGTCTGTGTTTGAACGACATCCTGCAGGCGACTTCAATGATGCTGTTGTTTCCCGCCGGCCAATCACTTTCTCCTCTCTGACTGATGGTGGTGGTGGTGGTGGTGGTGGTGGGGAGGGGATACCGCTCCCTCCAGTTGGACTTGAATGTACAGAAGAGTTTCTTCTGTAGCTGGCAGCCCCCACAGGATATTTTCTGGAAGGAGTCCCGGACCAGGAGCCTCCCCCTCCTGACAGGGAGGGAGGCAGGGAGGTAAAGAGAGGGAGACCCGGGGACCCTGAGACTCTGAGCATCGCCGTCATGGACTCAAGTGTTTGCGCTCTGGAGCTGCTGGGGGTCTTCTTCTCGGCGGGGGCCTGGATCTGTTCGCTGGCCACCACCCTGATGTCCACCTGGCTCACCCTGTCCACGGAGCTCCTCCCCACCGAGAGCTACGAGCTGGGGCTGTGGGAGACCTGCGTGGTGCAGGACCTGGGGGGCCTGGAGTGTCGGCCCTACGACAGCCTGCTGGGTCTGCCCCCGGACATCAAGCTGGCCCGGATCCTGATGTGCGTGACGCTGGGCGCCGGGATGCTCGGGCTGCTGTTGGCCATCCCCGGGATACACCTGGTGAACAGCTGCCACGGACGGCTGGACGACCTCAGGTGTAAGAGGGCCCTAAAGATGGCTGGGGGGGTGCTGTGCCTGGTGGCCGGGATCCTGGGGCTCATCCCGGTCTCGTACATCGCCCACCTCACGGTGGTCCGGTTCTTCGATGAGTCGGTGCCGGACGTGGTCCCGCGCTGGGAGTTCGGGGACGCTCTGTTCTGCGGCTGGACGGCCGGATTTCTTCACCTGGTGGCGGGAACGCTGCTGCTCACTTCCTGTCTGTGTCTGCAGAAGGACAGCTGTGACATCCCCGTGCCCATCCCTCTGGTGGGGGCGCAGCCGGGACTCCCCTTTATCAGGACCAGGTCCGAGTATGTCTGAGACCCCCCCCCCCAAAGTAACATCTGGAAAACAACAGAACCGTGACTTCAAATGTTTGAAGTCACCTCTCCTGGATGTGGGATCAGAAATCTTTTCCCGCTCAGATAACTGAATTTAAGATTTAAAATGACTGAAACACGGACTCTGGAGGTCAGATCACAGGTGACCTCACTCTGTCCTGTTGAATCTTGGGGGAATTTATCTAAAAATCATAATTCGTCATAAACAAATTCAGGGTTTTGGTGTTTTCTAAAAAGTTTATTTCCTCAGCAGTTCATCACAGTCACTTTATTCCAACAAGATCAAAACTGGATTTTAAGAACTTCATTTGATTTAAAACACTGATTTAAATCATTGATTTAAAATGTAATGTTTGAAGATGTTTCCAGATGTTTGTTCCAGCTGGATCTTCCTAAAGATTTCTGATCTAACAGAGAGAACGTAGTTTCAGCCGCTCACTGAGAGGATAACCTCCTGCTGTGTTGAGTGTCAGATCTTTGGAGATGTTGGATCGACAGTTACAGTAACGTTTGGCTGCACGTCTCAACACTCTGAGAAGAGAAGGTTTCTGATCTGACATTCAGGTGTGACCTTTGACCCCTCACTGTGGGATGACTTCACAGGTTTAACGTCTTTGGATCTTCGTTCAAACATTCACATGTCGTGTTTCACTCTTCATGGAGCCAAAGAGACTGAACGTGCTGCTGTTTCCTGTTGTATTCGTCCTGTCTGTGTGATGACTGTCTGCAGCACGATGTCACTGACAGTCACAGCACACTTCTGTCTCTGAGCTGAAGAATCTTAAAGTCTTTCAAAGCAGGATGTCACCTCTGACCTTCAGCAGGGACTGTGGGCAGGAAAAGGCTGATTATTGATATAAATATGAAATATATATAAATATATATAAAATGAAATAAAGAAAATGCTCAATAATCCATGTTATTTCCACTCACAGTCACAGCAGGTGAAAAAGACCATCAATGAGTTTCTCTTCAGGAAGCTACAGCTACAGTCACATGATTTATTTTCATGTTCAGAGACAGAAGCTGTTGATGCTGAAAATCACTTCACGCTCAATCCAGACCAACGTTTGTATTATCACAATTATTATGATTATCATGATCTGAGCATCGTTATCAGATGATTGTAAACGAGCAGCTTGTAAATAAAGATACAGAATAAAAACCTATGAAAAGTTGATTTGAGTATGTTTACAGTCTCTAAACAGCAGCTCAATCAGCTGTGATCAGCTGATCCTGTTTGTCCTGTGTGTGTCTGTCACCTCTGACCTACCGACAGGAAGCTGTGAACCAGTTCATGGATGATGAAGCTCGCCGACATGTTTGACTCGTACGTTACCTGCCGTGTCACTCCTTGCGGAGCGTCTGATTGGTCGGCTGCAGCTCCTCTGAGGATAAAAGAAACTGGAGCTCCAGCGCCTAGAGCGGCTGTTGTTCTGCTGATACAATACGCTCATTATAATCTGCCAGTCTGCCTCCAGCAGCTGGATCCACATCAGTCCACCACGGCAACTGCACCATGTGACCCCAACATGACACCACGGCAACTGCACCATGTGACCACAACATGACCTGTTGTTGATCTGCTGAGGCGTAGTGTAGCATAGCGTAGTTTAGCATAACATAGTGTAGCATAATGTAGGGTAATGTAACGTAGCATAGCATAATGCAGCGTAGCGTAGCGTCACAAACAGGATGATGAACACTGTGTTGTCACTGTGCTGATGCTTGTTCCCTTCAGGTTCCCTGAGCTGTAAATGAACACAACAGAAATGAGGCGTTCGGATGACTGATAGCCTGCAGCAGTCTGGGTCCTTTTAACAAACACAGTAACAGACACAGTAACACACACAGTTACACACACTCTCAGATATTAAACACACACAGTAACACACACCAACATGAAAGAGAGGAAGCTGCAGGACCTCTCGGCCCACCGCCTTCTCTTTAATTGCCCTTTTCCTTTATGGGACAATAGAGCCATGATTTGATAAAAACCTGGTTTGGGGAGTGAGTCCACAGAGGAGCGTCATGTGGTGCAGACAGGAAGTGGACCCCTCACCCTCACATTGTTTCAGGGCAGCTCTCATCACGAAACATGGAAACGCTGCCACACTCTGCCACCGCTCACAAACCCTCAGGTCTGCACAGACCAGCTCCTCCTGGTTCCTGACAACAGCAGGGGGGAGCCTCACGTCTCTGTCCCTTCCCCTCGCTTCATGGACGCTCAGCTGGTGCACTGACAGTCCAGCCGACATGAAGGACAGCAGCGGTCAGAGCTGTTGACAGACCTGGTTCTCTGGGGACACGTCGCTTCACTTTCACTGTTTCAGGTTGAATCTTCCACTGAACATCCTTTACACGAGACGTGAGAGCCAATACATTCAATCCAGTCACAACCGTTAGCCCACGCTAGCATCGCTGTGATACGCTCTGCAGCAATGCTAACAGTTAGCCAGAACACAGTCATAACATGGGTAACAGCAGGTTAGCTAATGTTAGCATGTGTACTGTAGCCGGCAGGAGAGCCTGAGTCCATCTAAGACAGTCAGTCAGAAACAGTCAGCCAGAAACAGCCAGTCAGAAACAGCCAGTCACAAACAGTCAGTTCACATGACAGAGCTGAGGCTGATGAAGACAGGACACCTCAGAGTGGAGGTCACACCTCTCTGACCGGGTCACATCATCAATAATCAGTACTTATTGATCCTCAAAGTCACAAGCAGTTTCATGCTATATCTAAGCTCCGCCCACTCATTCTCACCTCCAGCCAATCAGTGATGACCTGTCAGTGTTCACTCTGCTGTCCTTGTGAGGACAAAGTGTGATCCGTGTGTTTTTGTGTTTGAATGCTGAACAACAGGAAACATTCAGCAGGTGAACTAACCCTCACCACATCACCCCCTCACCCCCAACCCTCACCCCCTAACCCTCACCCTCTCACCCTAGCAGCAGATCTTTGGATTTCAACAGTTCATCATCGGTTTATTTTCCTTGATAATTTGTTTGATTATATTTTTTTCATTGTTATTATCCTGCTCGTGCTTTAATTGTGAAGTACTTGTAACTCTTGTTCTGAAAACTACGACACAATAAGCCTCATGCCTATTTGCTTCAGGTGTGTGTGTGTGTGTGTGTGTGTGTGTGTGTGTGTGTGTGTGTGTGTGTGTGTGTGTGTGTGTGTGTGTGTGTGTGTGTGTGCATGAGACACTGGTGACATTGTTCACTGGAGCAGAGTGTGGACCAGAACTCCCAGTATTGTAACAGTCGGGAACAAAAGATCCAGTTTTCATCTGAGTCCAACATCAGCAGAGGACAGGAAGTCATTCAGCAAATCAGATGTGACTGTGTGTGTGTGTGTGTGTGTGTGTGTGTGTGTGTGTGTGTATGTGTGTGTGTGTGCGCGCACGCGTGCGTGCGTGTGTGTGTGTGTGCTGAAGTAAAATTACCATTACCACAGAGTAAAAATACTCGTAACGTAACGGTACAGAAGTATCAGCAGTAACATGTACATTAAGTATTTCTTGTAGTTAGAGTATCACAGTAAAAGTACTTCCTGTCTCCTGTGATTGATCTCTGATCAGATTATTGATCCTGACTCATGTTACAGTTGGAACTGCTTTAACTACGTCAGATACACTTAGTTCAGTCTGGTTCACAACCTCTGGGTCAGGCCAGTCCAGGACTCATCAGTCCTGGACTCATCAGAGCTGGACTCAGTCCTGGGCTCAGTCCTGGACTCAGTTCTGGGCTCATCAGTCCTGGACTCAGTCCTGGACTCAATCCTGGGCTCAGTCCTGGACTCAGTTCTGGGCTCATCAGTCCTGGACTCAGTCCTGGACGGTTATGGGCCTAGAGGATCCAGGTTGTCTTCAGTTTCATATTAAAGTCAGCTGACATGTGACACTGATGAGAAACCAGACTTCATCCTGAGACTCAGTCCTGGTCCTGGATCTGGATTTGGATCTGGATCTGGACTCAGCTGAATCAGAGTCTGGTTGATGAGAAGATAAACTGCATGATGTCACTTTGTTGATGGGTGTTTACTGCCCCCAGGTGGTCACAGCGAGGAACTGCAACAACGCTACATGATGATGTCACTACCAGTTATAGGCCAGGTATACAGGTAATGCACCGTTAGAAACTTCAACACTACAACCAAGATCGTGAAACAGGAAGTAGAGCTGGAGCTGACGCACTGTAAAAACATTAATCAGATTAATGAACATGACATCATCTGATCAGTGATTAGGAACATCCTCATGAGTGTTTGTATTGAAGACATCACTGTTGGTATTAGTGTCATTACATCAGTCGTTATTAGTACAACTCTAATAACAACATCTAAGTCTTCATCATGTCACCTGTTCACCACCAGAGGGTGCCACATCTTCATCAATGACAGAGTGCTTCACAGGCAATAGAGAAGTTAATTAAAATACTTCTGTACTTTAACTGATGCTCTGTCTCCATGTCGTCAGACTGTCTCATCATGCTGAATCAGCTGATCAGGTGTGATCAGCTGATTCAGCTCCTGTCTGCAGTGAATCATGATGTTTTACTGTTATACTAAAGGAAACTTAAAAAGGTTCTGCACACTCTGTTTCTCTGGAGCTTTATTGTGGAGGGACATCAGAGATGATAACATCCTCAGGAAGTGATGTCATACTGAACCAGCTCATGTCTGTGTTCATAGTTAGTTTTACCTACAGAGTTGGAGTGTGTGAATGCATCTCAGCGTCTGCGTGATGCTGCTGAGTGGAAGTTTTTCCACAGGCAACAGAAAAGTCTGGCTGGGACTGCTGTTGTCTGTTCTCCCCCAGCTGCTCCTGTAAGGAGGTCACACTGCTCCAGTTTCACTCCTGGAGGCACAGGGAGGGATTCAACAATACTTCCTACAGTCTGCACAAAAGCAAAGAGAAAGAGGATCAGATGTCAGCAGGAAAGATCCACACTCCTGCTTTACAATGAGCACAGTGACTCTTTGCCAAAGTAAATCAGTGTTTTCTCTTTCCCAAAATACAGATGTTGTTCAGCCAAAGGTACAAAAACCAAAAGCACAACTTTCAAAAAACTTTTATAAGGTGTGTAGCATCAATAAAAGACAAAGAAAAAATAAAGGTGAAAAAGGTGATTTTCAAATTCTCATAAACACAGAATATATTTACAAATGATTTATAAAGGAGGCAGAGCGGCAGAAGAGACTTGAACCTGCAGAAACCATGACGACAAACACTTTCCTGAATGAGCAGGTGGAAACACAAGGAGAGGAACAGACATACAGTTTCACCAACACTTTATTTTATCAAACTCATCATTTCCTGTAAATGATCTCAAAAGATTCCTGGAAAGAAATTTTCAGGCCAATACTGATATTGCACTGATTTTGCTGTTATATATATAAAATATATTCATTATTTCTGCTTCTTATTTAATTTGATTTAATTCCCTCCTATTTTTAAATGTATTTTAACATTTTAACTGTTACAAATTAATGTAAACAAAGTTTATCATTATCATCATTGAAAAAATCGCAGCTGATGGTCATTATTTTGAGAGATTTTTATACGGGACATTTTACAGTGTACTCACTAAAAACCACTGGTGGCATGCTATAAGCAGTTCCCATAATGCTTTGGGGGATGTGAATAAATAAGAGGAAGTTACCATGGACTGAATCAGTGAGATGTGAGTCTCACTCACAGCAGCTCAATCAGAAAGTCTGCAGCTGCCGTTCCTCTGGAGCCTTATTGTGGAGGGACATCAGAGATGATGACATCATCAGGAAGTGAAATCACACTGAATCAGATCCACATGTGGTTCAGGTCTGACTCAGTCTGGCCTCCATGAGCTTTTTATTGATTCATTAATTATTGGTTATTGGAAACTATTTTTCAGACTATTTTTCAGAGGAATAATTAGACAGGGTTTGAATATTTAATGTTTTTCTTGTCTGGGTTTAATTCAGTCAGACGTCGCCCACTGAGTGAAACTGGCATCAACACTTTAAAGACTAATCTAGAAATAATCAATAAATTCATCAATAATGACTCAAATGACATTTCTTGTCCAGGAGACCTTCAGGGACCTGTTAATTAAAGCATCACATGAACGCAGAGGCTCAGTTAGTGTAGGAAACATTAAAGCGCTGCAGGTGGAAGAGAGTTCCTCAGAGTCCTTCACTGTGATGGTTTGAATCCGGGACTCGGCGCCGTCTGTTCAGAGTCTCTGTCAAAAGCTCAGTGTCAAGCTCAAGATCAAACGTTCCTCCATCAGTCCAGGTAACTTCAGCTCTTCTCCGCCAGCACTACACTGTTGTCTCTTCCTGGTTGCTGTTGCCCAGTCTCTTGTAAAACTGGCGCCACGACTGCAGCGTCTTGCCCGACCAGATCCAGAAGCCAGATGTGATCCCCACTATCATGGTCATCAGGTACTTGATCATGAACACGGTGAAGTCTGGCGTCACCGGTGCAAAGTTTCCATTGGGGCACGGCACGGCAAATCGCTTGCATGTCTGCATGTGCCACGTCCTCTCCCACCGCGGCCGGAACGCCTGCTCGTAGAAGTAGCAAGCAATGACGATGGTGGCGGGCACCGTGTACAGCACGCTGAATACACCAATCCGCACCATCAACTTCTCCAGCTTCTCCGTCTTGGTGCCGTCGTGCTTCATGATGGTGCGGATACGAAAGAGCGACACGAAGCCCGCCAGCAGGAAGGAGGTGCCGATGAAGAGGTAGACGAACAGCGGCGCCAGCACGAAGCCCCGCAGGGCGTCCACACTGTAGATTCCCACGTAGCAGACGCCAGTGAGCAGGTCTCCATCCACCTGCCCCGTCGCCAGGATGGTGATGGTTTTCACCGCCGGAACTGCCCAGGCCGCCAGGTGGAAGTACTGCGAGTTGGCCTCAAGGGCCTCATGACCCCATTTCATCCCTGATGACAGGAACCAGGTGAGGGACAGGATCACCCACCAGATGGAGCTGGCCATGCCGAAGAAGTAGAGGATCATGAACAGAATGGTGCAGCCTTCTTTCTTGGTGCCCTGGGCCACCATCTTGTAGCCTTCCACCTTCAACTTATCGATACACACGACTTTGTCCTCCAACAGGAAGCCCGTGGTGTAGGCCAGCGCCACCATGAAGTAGCAGCCAGACAGGAAGATGATCGGTCTCTCCGGGTACCGAAACCGCCTCGTGTCCACCAGATACGTGAGCACAGTGAAGAGGGTGCTCACACAGCACAGGACGGACCAGACGCCGACCCAGAGCCGACCGAACTTTAACTCGTCCTCACGGAAATACATCAGTCCGTTGGGCTTGGAGACCTCGCAGGGGGCGCCGCAGTCCTTCACCCCCAAGAACTGGTAGCCGAGGTAGGTGGGCACCTGGAGCTGCAGGGGGCAGGAGAAGGGCTGGTGGGGCCAGACATATGGTGGCAGGGTCACGAGCTCAGGCGAGCCGGGGGTCGGGCCGGACACGGATCTGTCGACTTCGGTTGTGTTCTGACCCACGCAGATATCTCCTGCTCCGTGGACCGGGAAGTTCTCGCAGCGCAGCCTCTCCGGCCACTGGAAGCCAAATTTATTCATGAGCGCCTCGCAGCCCTGGCGTGCCCGTTCACACAGTGACCGGCATGGCGGGATGGCCTGCTCGAGAACTGTGCAGACCGGAGCGTACATGGAGCACAGGAAGAACTTCAGGTCCACAGAGCACTGGACTTTCACCAGAGGGTAGAACTGGTGGACCTCCAGCCCAGCGTCCTCCTGGTTGGTGTGTCCCAGCAGGTTGGGCATGATGGTCTGGTTGTAGGCGATGTCGGTGCAGAGGGGGATGGAGATGGGCTGACAGAAGCCGTGCTCCGGGAGGGAAACCCCCCTCTCATACTGACTGCTGCAGGACTGGAGGAGGAGCGCAAAGACCAGAGAGCAGCCCATCACCCACACCCCCCGCCGGTCTCTCCCCACCGCCATGACAGACAACACCACCCCTGAGGAACTGGTTCCCGCTGAGGAGCAGTTCAAGAACCAGCTGAGAGCCTGTTTCCAGAGGCACAAATCCGTGTAAGGTGCCCTTTAATGCCGCATTCCTTCACTACTCCACAACTCTCCAGGAAAAAGGAGGGAAAGTGAGTTTGTTCATGGTCCAGTCTTTGAGAGTCAGTGGATTAAAACACGTCTGTTCAAGTAAAAAGCGGCAGATTTAAAGTGTTTGAGGAGTGGGGGTGTGCGGTGTGGAGGGTCCGGGTCTTCTCACACGCCTCACTGAAGTTCCGCGTGTCCCTGAACCATCACTTATATCCGCTCTCCACAATCTGTCCGCGGGGCCGCGCTCATCACTCTGCCCGGGACGGTTTCCAGGCGCCCCCCCCCCCCCCCCGCCGACATTCAAAGCCCTCTTCTGCATCGCAGGAGGGGGCGCCTGGAAACCCCAGTCCGCCGCCCGATCCTCCAATCACACGCTTTGTTTTCTCAACCGTCTCAGCGCTGATTGGTCAGTGGAGGTGAAAGGGGGCGGGGCGTTGCGCAGGAGCCGTCACAGGGTTGCTGCTTAATATTCCTGCAGGGACTCAATGTTTGAACGAAACTACAGGTAGCCTATACGAAGTATTAGTACATCAATATGTACAATATGAGGTACTTGTACATGTCAGAGGGAAATACTTCACTTTTACTACTTAGTTTAGTTTCATTGCAGATTAATGAAGAGCATTAATTTCTTTAATCATCTCTAATTAAAATAAACACCCTCTAGTTTCATTAGTAACAATATTTTCAAAGTAAAAGTACACATTGGATCATTTCCTGCTGCTCGTCTGTTTCATCAACACCTGGAACATCCTCAGTTATTGGTGCTTTTATTTTCTTATTGATTTCAATCTGGAGTTTCAAAATAAAAGGAAAAAGTAGAATGTCTGTGAATGTATAGAAATGACTGAAAGAGTGAATTCACATGTTGCAGCAGTAGAAGAAGAACACACACACACACACGCACACACAGCCGGTCATCACCTGTGCGTTGTCACAGGGAGGAGTTCATCTGTCCTCATCCAGTCCTGGTCCCGTATTCACAAAGCATCTTGAGGCTAAAAATAGCTCTTACCTCGCTGATTTAGGAGAAACTCCTAAAATTAATGGGCGTCCTGACTTTAGGACTCCTTTTTTCTTTTTACTAAGAGCGATTCACAAAGACACTTAATGCTAAAAGCAGCTCCTCAGTCTGAGAGAAGTTAGCAGCAGTCGAGAGGACTCCTGACTCACTAAGACCAAATCACAAAGAATCATAAAGAGTTGCCGTCACTCCACATCACAGTGTTTTAAACCTTACATGATGCTGAATCACTGAAAAGATTCGACTCAATCAGAGGGAATAATGATCGTTGTGAATGATCAATTCTCTCAATGGAAAATTGAGAAAAGCTACCTGTCCTAGACTCCCTAACTAAACCTAACTGGCAGCCTATTAGCCACAGCCTGTTGTAGCTGTACCTGTTGTAATGTAGCTGTGGTCCCAGCTGTGGGTGGAGGTGTGTCTCCACTGCTGCTAACTTCTCTCAGACTGAGGAGCTACTTTTAGCACTAAGTGTCTATGTGAATCGCTCTTAGTAAAAAAAAAAAAAAAGGAGTCCTAAAGCCAGGACTGACGCCCATTCATTTTAGGAGTTTCTCCTAAATCGGTGAATGCAGGACCTGATCTTCTGCAGTCAGCTCATAATAAATGTGTTTTTTTTATCTCAACCCTCCATCAGCTGTTCTCACAGACTGGATCTGATCCAGGACCTGATCCACCACCCCCCCAGAACAGTCAGGGATCAGGATGACTGCTCCAGAGTAATGAAATATATTCAGTGTTTCTGTGAGACCCACTCTGACAGATTTTCCACAGACTGAATGAAGAGAAGAGAAGAAGAACAGAAGAAGAGAAGAGTATAAACACATCACAGAGTAAAGTAAACACAGCCCCAACTCTTCAAAATAAAAGACCTGGACCGGTACCCATCCATCACTGCTGCCTCGTCTCTTCTTCTACTGTTTCTTTACTCTGCTTCACATGAACATAAACATAAGAGGAAAAATGGAAAAAAAGAGAGAGTCCTGGAGGACAGAAGGAGAGGAAGACAGAAACGGAGACAGAGTCTTTTTCTTTCAACCGTGTGAATGATGATGTGTCCCTGTCTCTGCTCTGTCCAGCAGCTTGTGTCAATAAAGTTAATTTGAATGTGATTTCTCTGAGGCTGATGAAAGGATGGAAAGAGACTCATCTTTCATTTATAGAGTATCTAACATGGAGCTGCTGCAGCCAGATAAACCTGGACCAGGACCTTGATCTGGACCAGGACCAGGACCAGAGACCAGATAAACCTGGACCTGGACCAGGACAGAGGTTCTGCAGGTTCACCTTACATTCAAAAAACCTGCAGACGACCTCCACCTGACACTGAACCAGGTATATGACCCAGACTGGAGCACACCTGGTCCAGCCCTCCCTCTCTCTAGCTCTCTCTCTCTCTCTATGTCTCTTGTCCTCCCAGCGCTGTGAGTGATGAGGTGTCTCTGCAGCTTTCTGCTGTTTCCTGCTGTTTTCATCACCACACACACACACGCACACACACACGTCTCCTCACCATGTGGTGATAAGCAGCAGCGTGTGACCTGCATGTAAACTCTCAGACACACAAAGTGACTGTTGTTACACCTCAGCTGTCCGTTACCATGACAACACACAGCTGACAGTTGTTGTGATTGAGACTACAAATCTAATCAGAGCTCATTGAATGGAGTGTGATGAGCTCCTCGTGATGAAGGTTTCTGTTCAACACCGACAGAAACTTCTGATTCAGTCTGTTTGTCTTCCTCTTTCATTTCCCTGCTAATGATTTTGTTTGATTATTGATTAATCTGCTGATTTATTGTTCTGTTTATTACATGACAGAACAATAACAAACACACAGCCTCACCAATAGAAAACTAATATAAAGATGTAAACAACCCACAGAGAAGAAAATCATCTACATCTGTTTGTTTGAATCAACTTTTAGTTTCTTCTCATCAGAAAAGTGAGGAACACACAGATCGATAAACTGAACTCATTGTTATAGATCATTTATCTGCTTATTTACAGCTTATAAGATTTATTATATTTTATACAATATAAAATCTTTAACATTAGTATAGAAATCAATATAACACATGGACTGAAGTACGTTTCAGTGTGATTTATATGTAGCTAAGATAGCAGCTAGTGCTACTCTGCCAAGCTAGTTAGGTTAGCTTCACCAGGAGTTCAGCTCATGATTACATTCAGTGAAAACGTGTTATTAAAAAGGATATTTGTATTAGTGGAAATACGTAAATGTAGTTTTAGCTTTAGTAAAGGCTAGCTGTGGCTAGCTCACCAGCTAGCTTTAACTTGCCAGGTTAGCTCCGTCTTGAACTTATTGCAAATTTAGAATGTTGTTACCATGGAAATGATACATTTCTATGACACCATACTTTTTTACGTGGTAAACAGACGCCTCACGTTAGATAATGTTTAAGTTTTAAACGTAGTTACTGCGTTTTAGCTTGTGGCAGGTTCATTCTGATATTTATTCTTTGTTTGAAATAATCAGCGATGACCATGAGCGTCTGCAGAAAGTCAAGGAAACGAAAACTCAAAGTTTGTCGAGCGAAAAACAAAGAAAGCAAACAAACAGAAAACAGTCATTGAGGGCTGGACATCAAAGGCTGCTGAACATGGTGATTTATTAATGATGCCATTTGTTCGAGTGTCGTGAATGCATTTTCTCATCAAACAAAAAACAAACACTTTGTTAAATATGCACAAAGACTGAACTTCTCTTTTATCTCACAAATCAATCAAACGTACATTTGATTTTCCTGTCAATCAACTCAATCTCACTGTGTCTCTGTCAAACAAATAATTCTATATTTATACATGAGCATGATCAAAACAAGTGAACGCGTCAAGTTCTGTTGTTTTCTTCTGTAGAAACAAACACGTTGATCAGTAGCTTCGCGATGAACAAAAGAAACAAATAAACAAAAAAAAAAACTTTGTGAAACAAAGTGGTGACTGTTTCTCTGCTGTGACAACAACACCCGCTTATAAAAAGTCTGTACATCTAAATCACAGGAGAAGGAGACGTGAGAAAATAAATTCAGTAAAGAATCAACAAGAATAACATGCTAACAACAATCGCTCCGTACTCCTCGTTAAAGAATAAAAGGTTTGGTGTTTGGCTGAAAAAGACTAAAAAACAAACAGGTCCATTTTAAAACAAACTATATGTTTAATTATTATGTTAGCATATCTGGCTAACTAGCGTCCAGCTACAGTAACCTAGTGCTACGAGTGTATGAGATAGAAGGAAACTGTCATGTTCCTCGAGCTTCTCATTGGTCCTGATTCACGACCAGCGTAGCTAAGCCAATTAGCTTGTTGTATTTGGTATTTTTCTACATGAAGCTAAAATACAGCAGCAGTCACATACACCTGAAGGGGCGGAGCCTCTGTAATCCACCTGGTTGCTGGCCACCAGTTTACAGCTCGTGTAAAGCAACATAGCAATGCAGAGTTTAATTAACATGCTACACATTGTTAGCTCAGATGGCTTCAATTCATTATTTATAGTCCTTCAGTCCAGGAGAATCAAAGGGTTTTTCATTCAAGTGATCCAGGCTATCTGCTTCTTCTTCTTTGTTTCAATGGCAGACTGTATCCAGATGGAGCGTTATCGCCACCTACTGTTGTGTTAGAGAATCTTTATTCAGGTCAGAGTTTTGAAGGTAAATAAAGTTGTTTCAAAAAACCAAGATCCATGTGTTTGATTCCTCAACTCGTTGCCATCAGTTACATATTTTGGGCAGATAAAAAAACGTTCCACTGTGTTTGATCACAATGTTTTCCACTGAGCTGTGATGATGGGTTTAGTTTTGTGAGACCTAATATCCTGTATGTATTGTCTACCTAATGATTCTATATCATAACTGCAATATTTCATAAACAATATCTTGTCTATATTTTCAAACTATTCAGTTGCTGCACCAGAAGCTGAACAGATGAAAACCTGCTTTGGTTTGTGACCCTGCACCCACTAAAGAGCTAACGCGCAGAGCTAACGAGTAAGCCATCATTACACTGTATATATTGCTATGTGATCACCTTCAGGCAAATTCTTCTCATCATGTTTTCTTCTTCACTTCTTTTACTTCGTCATCAGACTGGATAACTTTATTTTGATGGTTTCAGCTTCATTTGTGAAGCTGCTATAGCTAGCAGCTAGCACCCTCTGCTGGCTGAAACAAGTGTAACGCCGATGTCTGATGCTGCTCGTCTATTTTTAATTCTCAGAAACAGGGACAGGGACGTCTGGTCATCTTAGAGGGATGTGATATTTCAGGTTGTATAATGTGTAAAACGTCTTTGTTATTGTCATTATTGGGTATTGAGTGTAGACTGATGAGGGAAAAAAGAATTTAAATGATTTTAGCGGTAACATTACAAGATGTGAAGAAAGTGAAGGAGTCTGAAGACTTTCTGAATGAAGCAGAATTCTCTCACGATAGAACAAGTTTATTTAAGCAGCTTCAGGCAGGTTTATTGTGTATAACGCATTTATATATGTTGGAAAAGTCAAACTTGATCTATGCAACTTTTCAAAGTGCCAACTTGGATCAACTGAACACTTTAATCTTCACACGTGGCCAGAAAATCACATTTCAATAAAAGACACAACACACTGCAGAGTTGCTGCAGATTCAGTCAATATTCATGAAGAGTTTCAGGGGATTTCCTCAGAGAAAAACACATTAATAAATCCTTGTTAATCTGCTGCTAACACATGCTAAAGAATGCTAACATATGCTAACAGGAATCGGGGTGGAGGGGGGAGTAAACTGACTGAAGGGAACATTTTATATTTAAATCAACAATAAATCTGATTAAATTAGATTTACATAGAAGAAGATTCTTCTTCCACCCTATCAGCACGTAGCTTCATGCTAACAGCCAGATCACCTGTGATCACACCTCAACACCAGCTGTGATGATGTGACTCTGTCATCTGCTGGTTTGGCGCCTCGGTGCCTTTTATTCCATCAGGGGGGTCAACGGTCTTTAATGGGTGGTCACAGTGAAGGAGGGGCCAGACAGACAGAGAGCATCTGAGCCAAAAGAGCCATTTTTACTCTGTAATTATTAAAGTAATTCTTTAGGGTGTATTTACTTACAATGAACTTACAATTATAACTGAATTACACTGTAAAACTTCAACTGATCTCTTCTCAGTCTTTAAGTTTTTTTAATTTCAAGTTAATTCAACAAGAATGTGTTTTCTTACTTCATCCCTTCACCTCTTCTCATGGCAGAAGACCTGAAGTTAAAACAACTTGTGTGGTGTGAATTAATAAAACTGAATGTTTGATGTTTTATAGTGGATGTTAACATGATAATGATAACTTCTAATTTAAAGACAAGATATTGTAATACTGCAGTTTTATTCCCTCATATGTTTAACAGTTGTCTCTGAATTTGTCCCTTCAGACTCTCCGTCCCTGGAACATAGGTCAATATTACACATCATGATTTTATTTTGAAGGTAAGCTTGACTTATGGTATTGTTTCTCACAGTTTGATGCTAAGATGCTAACTGTTCTTTGGTTTTGGCTAGTCTCAGTTTGTTTACCCCTCTGCTCGTCTTCTCAGGCGGATGGTGATTTCATTGGAGGGTTTCATCACCAGCACTTGGCGCCAGGCAGCAGGGAGGGTTTCACCCTCCGCCCAGGGTTATAGATGTCCCTGACCTCTGTCTCCAGACGAACACCTGGAACCTTGAAGATGGACACAGCTGAAAAACACAGAAAAACCCTGTGAGGCTGGGTTGGTTAGCTGCATGCTAACTGCGTTAGCAGGGTGAGACTGGACAGAATCAAACCAGCAGCTACGGAAACATTAGCATACATCAGTGAAAATTATTATCTTACCATATATATGGTCATACTAGCATGTTAGCATATGTATAGCTTTGTTAGCATACAACTATGTTAGCATGTAGTCATGTTAGCATGTCCTTACTGTCTCTGAGGTGCATGATGGGAAGAGGCAATGTGCTGAAGTATGGGTGCTGCAGAGAATCCTGGGCTGAAATCCGGTCTGCAGGGACTCCCTTCAACATCCTCTGGACCAAGTCCTCCGTCTTATAAGGCAGCTGGTTCAACCTGATTCAGATCAACACAGACTGATTGATGGGCCCGTTAGCATTTGGCTCTTTAAGCATGCATGTGGTCCTGTTAGCATACATGTAGCATGTGTGACATGTTAGGATTTAACATGCGTACAACCCTGTTAGCATGTATGTTGATTATGTATGTTTGCGTTCAATATGTTAAGTGATAGTTAACTCCATGCTTACATGCTAACAATTTACCATATGGTAGACTGAGTAATACTGAGCTCCATGGTGGCAAACTCTGTTGAATGATAGCAGGCTAAATGCTAATACCTTAGCTTAAAGTGTTAGGTAACCCGGGCCTCATGCTAACACTTTAGCACACACTACGTTAAATGATAGTAAGCGCTTGGCTAGCACTCCTCCACGCTAACACTTTAGCATCCATTATGCAGAGTCACAGTTAGCTTACCTTTTCCAAACAGTCCTGAACTGTTTTGGCTCGGACTGATGAAACCACTCTGAGGAGAAAACAAACAGCTGTTAGTTAACATGTAAACATGCTAACATGCTAAACTAACTTTAAAATATATTCGTAGTGCAACATGCTCTAAGCTTTGTAACTACAATTCCCATAATACTTTGAGGAATTTAAATGGTAAATAGAGTCAGTTAGTGGATGTGAGAACTTGTGGTTCAGGTCTGACTCAGTGAGGACTGTGATTTTCACATTCACCTCCCACAGTGTCCCCTGCTGAGAGGAACATGTGAGGCGCTGGACCTGTTTAATCCTCAACTGTTAGTCTGTGGAGGAGGTGACGTTTCTCCTCTGAGGAGTCTGATGACTCATCTCAGTCTGTGGTCTGACGCTCCAACGTTACAGAGCATCAGTCACGGGCTGGATATGTATTAATCAGGGTTATTAAAATAACAAGACGTTTATTTAGACTGATTAATTAACACATATTAATGATTAACACAAATTAATGGTTAATAAACACAAATTAATGATTAATTAACACAGATTAATGATGTCCGGTCCATAAGTATTCTCACTCTCACTTCACTTTTCTTCACTTGTCACTTCCTGTCTCGTCCTCGCTGTCTTATGATTGGCTGTTGGGACAGGTAGGGGGAGGAGTAAACTCACCTGGTTTATAATTGGGCAGCAGACTGACTCCAGGCCAGCTTTCCTCAGAGGGGACGCTCAAGACCTGCAGAGACCCACAACCCAGTTATCATTATTATTATTAGTAATGGTAGTACCAGAGGTGGAAAGTAACAAAATACATTTACTCACATTACTGTATTGAATACTTTTTTTGTGTATTTTGTATTTTTTAAGTACAATTTAAAATCGGTATTTTGTATTTTACTTGAGTACGTTTTGACTCAAGTATTGTACTTAGTTACTTTATAAATCCTATCCGTTACTGAGTAAAAATAACAATTCAACCTACAGGGGAAAAATACGCGCCAGAACCATAGACAGTAAAACAATGGCCAGAACCAACAGTGACAAATGATGAGGGTGAGAGAGAAAACGTGAGAGTAAGCATGTTTAATGTTGTACCACTAAATGGATGAGCTCAACTAACTTTAAGCTGCTACTTAAACTGAACAAGAAGTTCAGTTGTTGTGAAGTTGTTGTTATTGCACTTACATTTGTTACACTTGTTCTTTAATTAAAAACAAAATAGTTTTGGATTTCTGACCCCTTGTCCTATTTTTACTACCCTCACACCCCACACAAAGAAAGTAACTAAGTAACTTTTACTTAAAGTACATTTCAAATGAACTACTTTTTACTTTTACTTGAGTACATTTTCAGATGAGTACTTTTACTTCTACTTGAGTAATATTTCATCAAAGTATTGGTACTTTTACTTGAGTACAATATTTTTGTACTTTTTCCACCTCTGGGTAGTACTAATATTAGTATTAGTATTAGTTGTAATAACAGTACTACTAGTAATATTAATAGTGCTAGTACCGTCCAGATCTTCTGCAGCTGTTCAAACACATCAGTGACTCCAGGGAACGCCGGCACCCCCTGCAGCATCTCGATGAAGATACACCCCGCCCCCCTGATTCAAACAGAGAAACCTTATTGAGTCACATGAACAAAACAACCTTCAGCTGCAGCGGCTCCAGCACTCACCACATGTCCAGGGCCGTGGAGTAATCTGTAGATCCCAGCAGCACATCGGGGGGGCGGTACCACAGGGTCACCACTTCAGAGGAGAACGTCTGACTGGGGATGGACTTGGACCGAGCCAGACCTGAATCAGAACCAGAACCAGTCAGGACCAGCAGAGTAAAACACCAGTAAAGACTAGTACCATCTTGTCTCTCATTAATCTGAGACAGTTTCACATCTTTATCTGAGAAAATAAAAGTTATCTCGTGGTGTTGTGTGGTGGGCGGGCCTCTGCGTGGTGGGCGGAGCTCCTGTTAATTGTTCCTTACCAAAGTCAGCCAGTTTGAGTTCTCCCAGGTAGCTGATGAGCAGGTTCTGAGGCTTCAGGTCTCTGTGGAGGATCCTCTGGCTGTGGATGTAGCACAGACCTCGCAGCAGCTGGAACATGAAGATCTACAACCAGACAGCAGACAGGTGCAGTTCACCTTCACCTGAAACCACACCCCCCAGCCTGAGATCACGTCAGTGGGACTGTAAGGATCTGTCTTACACCCCGAGCAAGTGTCTCAGCTTGTCTCAGATCGACACAGGTGTCACTTCCTGTGCAGCACCTGCTCTCATGGTGACTGAAATGAGGTGTGGTCAGGTGTATATTGCTGAGGCAGTTGGAAGTGACTGGTGTGAAGTCAGTGGTGCAGTGACTCAATGTCGTTACTCAGACACAGACAGTCAATGACCTTTACTTAATTTAGTAAATTACCTTTACACATAGTGCACTCCGATGTAACAACACAACATACTGTGATAAATTACACAACAACAGCAGAAAATTATAAACTTAAAATTTGTCCCACCCACAGCAACTCCTCACTTTGCTAGTGTACTGGTCCTCCTGCTGCTCCTCTAAACTAATCTACTGCAGGAAACACACTGACTGTACATGACAACCTCACACAACCATACGTCTAAAAACCACAACTATCTCCTCAACATCCTGACAGAAGGAGGTGTGACGTACCCGGACGTTGTGTGAGTGCAGACCTCCGGGGTGTTGGGTCATGTACTGGGCCAGGTCTGTCTGCTGCAACGACAACGACAGAGGAAGAAGAGTCATCACCTGCAGCCTGATCTCTGACCAGTGAGATGCTTCATTAGAAACAGTGGGGTTGTACATTAACTGTTGACTGCAGCGCCCCCCCCCCAGGTCAACATGGACATGTCTCTCACCACGTATTCAAAGACCAGGGTGAGCGAGTCTCTGGTGTGGATGATGTCGTGGAGGAGGACGATGTTGGCGTGTTTCAGACCTTTGAGCAGGGATGCTGCATGCACATGCACATGCACACACACACACACACACACACACACACACACACACACACACACACATGAAACCAGACACTGTGGGTGTTTCATATAAATCAGATGAAGTCATGATCTGATTGGTCACCTTCTCTGATGGCAGTGAACGGGACGCCCTCCTCCGTCTTCATACGAATCACCTTCAGAGCCACGAGCTGCCCATTGATCCTGCACGGAAGAAGAAACATTCACAGTGAAGTCAGAGAGACACATTACAAATGTGTATGAGTGTCTGCTGGAGGATGGCTCTGCACAACCTGGCAACCCAGTCGCTGTTCTTACCAATGTCGTATGACTGATCTAAGAACCATCAGTCCATTATTATTAACCATTAATTAAGACAGTCCTGGTAAAGCCTCATCAGCTTTGTTTCATTACTGCAACATGGACTTCCTGTAAGACTTTTATTGTGAAATGTACATTTTACGATATAATGCACATGTAATGCACACATTTAACAATATCACTGTACATTACATATTCTTCTGCAGCTGTGTGTTTGTGTGTGTGTGTGTTTACAGATGTTTGTGTGTGTGTGTTTACTGATTGAATAATAGAATCTATGTTATTGTCATTAGCATCAGCTGGGTCTACAGACCGTGGTGACATCATCAGAGCGTGATGACTGACCTGCTGATGCCTTTATAGACGGAGGCGTACGCTCCCTCCCCCAGTTTCTCCAGACTCAGATAAGACTGAGCCGTTCCAAACTGAAGACCTGGTTTCTGAACACAACACACGCATGTTACATGTCATGTCATACATGATCATCATCATATGCTGTGTGTCATATGATGTGTCATCTCATCATGTCATATTTAAGGAATCACATCAGATTGTATCACACAGCATGTGTCAGGTCATACTGTATGTCACATGCTATATGTCAGGTGACATCATATGTTATTGTCCATGTGTCTCATCCTGTCTTATGTGATGTCATATATAATAGTCAGGTCACATAATACACATCACTCTACATGTCCTGTCATCTGTCACATCACATGTAATACGTCATTATATGACACGCCACGTCATGTGTCCTGTTATGTCATGTGATATTTCTTGTCATATATAACTTCACAATTTAGATTTTACCTTTAAACTAAACATGTAAATAAAAAATGACACTTTTTATTTTCATTATTCATCAATGTCTCATCAAATGATTTTAATCTGAGTCTCTAAAGTCTGTACTTAGTCGTTAAGAGGAGCGACAGGTTTGAGATGTCAGCTGACCCAGGTGAAGTGGTCTTCGCAGCCCCTCCCTCCCAGCGGGTCACTGTTGCTGCGTCCTCGCTGAACTCGTAGCCGTCGCACCTGAAGCGTGTGGAACCACTGAGGCCGAGACTCAGAGGGGGACGAGCCGGACCGGTCCGGATCCAGCTGTGCCACACAGACGCAGGACAGGAAGTGAAAATCTGAAACCTTTCAACCACCTTAAACTGTAATACCACCTTAAAAATGTTAGGTATACCATACACAGTAATATTAAATCAAAGTACATCCTAATTTATTTTTATTCAATTATTAAATTGTTGTATAAATATTACCAATAATAAATGTAATATAAATATGTTACAAACAAATAATATAATTTAAAATTTTAATTAAATTATTTGAATAAGTTTGTCAGTTATTAACTTATCTAATACATTGCATTAAACCGTGTTTGCTTTATTTTTCTGTAATTAGTTTTTAGTTCTGGAATTAAAAATATGTTATTATATTATTCAAAAAATTCTAATGTCTAAGGATACACTGTAAATGAATAACAGCAAACAGTGATGTGCTTTAACAATATCACTGTGGCGAATTAAATTAAAAGAAAAGGCAAAAAAATTCATACCACAATTAAAACCAAAACAATTACACCATGAAAAACAAAGACCATGGGAAGAAGTACAAAGTGTAAGCCAGGAATCACACTGTAAAAAATGACCACAAAGATGCCAAGCAGTGGACACACTGTAGAAAATGCAGAAAAGTATATAAAAATATTTGTAAAAAACTACATATATATATATATATATATATATACACACACACAATACCTGGTTATACCTGGCTTCATTATTTTTAATTACTGTTTTTTTCCAGTGTGTGTGTGTGTGTGTGTGTGTGTGTATACACACACACACACACACATACATACATATATATATATACACACACACACACACTGTAAAAAATGACATAGACATGTAACACGTCAGTTTCATCACATACCTCAGCAGGCGGGAGCGAAGTCGAACTTCTGCTTTTTCTGAAGCCGAGATCCTCCATCTTCACCTCCTCCTCGCCATCATCATCATCTTCATCTCTCCTCTCTTTCTCCTCTTCATCTTGCTCACCACAGCAGCACCTCCTCACCCACCACCCAGCCTCCCTCACCCACCGGGACAAGTCCTCCATCTTTTCTTCTTCTCTTTACACTCCACTCCTCTTCCTCCTCTCTCATATGACTCACATGGTCCAGGACGAGCAAACAGGGTCCCATGACCATCCCTAACCAACAACCCCCCCCTTACAAAAAGACACACACACACACACAGTTTAGAACAACAGTGTCCATTCAGCACAGTGTATGTGTGTATGTGTATTTGCTGCCTTCCAGTGGTCACTGTCTGCAAATACAACTCTGCACATGATGGCACATTTACCGATAATGGTCTGTCAACTGCATATAAAAGACACACACACACACACACACACACACACACACACACACACACACACACACACACACACACACACAGGGTATACACTATAAAAAATGATAACCAGCATGGATACAGAGAGACTCAAAACTAAAACCACTAACGTGAAACATTTTACAGCTGGACTGACAGGTTTAGTTCAGGATCATCTTCACTAATGAACACCACTGTATGATGTTTGAAGCCTCAATGCAATCAAAGCTAATCTTGGGCTATAAACCAACTACACCACAGTCACGACTTCAACATCACCACCACTAAACTTCAACTTGTAGTTTGATTTAGATTTCTGACCTCTTCTACAAAAGCCTTTCCTCTTACAGAGTTAGTGACAGTTTGTATAAACACAACACGGCCGTAAAGGTGGACTGTTGAGTTAAGGAGGCTGTAAAGGTTGACTGGTGAATAGATCCGTTTTCATATTCAACATGATAACATCTAACGTCCCGACAACCTCTGTAGTTTCATTTGAACGCATGTTAGCAACCGAGACATAGAAGCTTCAAGAAATCAGGACTGGAGTTTTTGCTGATGTGTTTTATGTCAGAGAATTAAACGTAAAAAAGTCTTGAGCTTGTGTTCAACTCACAGTCTGTAACTCCTGTCTCTAGGGGTCTCTCAATCAAAACAATAACAAAAGGCGACATTGGGTGACATCATGAAGTAGCGTTGGATCATGGGAGTTGTTGTCTTCTCCCTGTTTGGATTACTTCAGTGTCAGTGGTTCAGGAAATCAAACAGACCCAATGATTCTAACCGTTAAAAACACTGAATAAAGCCGTGTCACATTAAAAGTCATTGTTTGACTGACGCTGTACGGAGGACAGAGACGTCAGGGAGGAGTTGGAGCTGAGATTTTCTTTCTTAAATAACTTACGAACCAGATATTCAGCAGGTTTTTAGCAGCAGCTGAATTACATACCTGAACTACCTGCAGCGGCCAAGCTCCAGTCCGACCCATGGCCCACGTCCTCCCCCCTCTCTCTCCCCGACTTTCGTGTCTCTCTCACTGTAGATATCTGAAAAAAGGCAAAAATGCCACAAAAGTTAACTTAGAAAAATCAGTGATTCACCGACGCTCTTCGGGGGGACACATGATGTCTTAGAGTAGCTGGAAACTGAGATAGCTTACCTTTGATTCTTTAATAATTTATGAACCAGACGCTCAGGATGTTTTACCAACAGCTGAATTATCCACAGAGGTGTCCTCCTCCCCATAACAAACAGATCAGGGATTAAAACCGAGACGAATAAAGCTGTTTCTATTTTAAATAACAATGATTCAGACTCTCCAGCAGACACAGGACAGGACCCCTGACGCGCCCGCGTCTGGGAGCTGGGCTGTCTAACATTTGCCTGACTATTTTCTCTGATAACTTCAGATTCAGAAAAAATTCCTTCATCTGGTTAAAATATACAGTTGAAAACCATCAAGGTATAGAATATGTATGTGGTTTAAAACTAGATAAAAGTAAATTTTACGTTTCTGGAAGACAACTACAAAGCCCACCCATGCACGTAGGGGGTAGGAAGTCATCTACAGGCGACCAAATGAAACGAACCGTTACCACAGATCCTCTATAACAATATAACTAATAGACTGTAACTTTCTTAACTGTCTCGGTTATTACCATAATTCAAATCCATGATGCCTATGAGCCAGGCGGGTATTAGTATGGAAGTGAATTGGCACCATTTTTAAATCCGGGCATCCAGTTAATAATACAACAATGCTAATAATACATCAATGTTAAAATCACAGATTTCTCTGAGTTGAGGCTGGAAACATCTGGGATAACGTAAGTACACTAGTCGAAATATACATATATCACATAGCTCAAGTCATTTTTAGACATTTTAGTGTGGAAAAATTACAGATTATAACTTAAACCACAGAATTTATTTCCGTTATCGAACCAAAAACTCACCCAAGGGTAAGTTAGCTAAGTAAAGCTGAGATTTCTCTGCCGCCAAACTTGGTTTCATGGCGGAAGCAGGTGATGGTGATTGTTGATGACAAGAACTTCGGCCATTGTTGCATTTACAAGACAAGAGGTTATAATACCTCCGCTGTGCAGCTTTGTCTTCCTGGCAGACTACAGGCTACAGTGAGTCCGTCGGAAACGGAGACCGGTCGGGGCTAGCTGGTTAGCATGCTAACTTCAGTAGAAGAAAAGACGTGACAGACACTAGTAAACATTGTTGTTAGTTTCCACCTCTGGAGACAGCTGTTAGTGAGTAAAGTAATGATATTTGATGGTGAACTCACAACGTTTTTTCTAGACTGGTAAGTAAACACCTTCTTACGTTAGCTATATAGAGATAGCAAAAATTACAAATAGCCCCTAAAACCCATTGAATTAGGGACAGGCAGCAAGTGCTAAAATGCTAACTCATCTCCACTGCACTCTGTCACCATAGCAACTACAACACAGTGAAAGTGACCTGGTTTCTCTCCAGCAAACACCGACTTCTCACTAAACCTCCAGGAGTTTGGTTGTTTCTAAAGATTTGTGTCTCTAAAAAAAGTCAAACTATAACCGAACATGTTTTTAACTTTTCTGTCGATAAGTTTCTGTTCTGTATTTTACTTTCACCTACTATTGTGACGCATATTATTTTCTCCTCTGAAGGTAATGTGAACAGATGGTAATGGTTTACTCGTTAACACCTGTCATTACCTCAATTATCTGACCTTCATGTTGATGTTGTTGTTGTTGTTGTGTTTGTTACCGGTGCCAGACCTAGGGGAAATCTGGACCGGCAGCAAAGGTTACACAGGCAAGGGTGCACCGTGTAGCCAATAAGAACATTCTGTGGATTAATAAGGGAGAGAGCCAAAGTTAGCGTCTTGCTCCAGCCGATGCTCATTTAATATTTAATACAACACAACAGTATACAATTACATATTTGTGTATATTACCACATACAAATGTCGGTAGCTTGCGCTGACAAAACAGTAGAAAACCGAAATTCACGGAAGTTAATGTTCTCAATGGCGGCGCCCGCCAAGACACACAGTAACAAAAATACATCCCAAATACATCTCAAAACCATGTCACAACTTCACAGAACGATCTGTAATGCATTTACACTAGATATTAACCAAAGCTAATCATAGAAAAGTTTAACATACCTGTGGATTAATAAGGGAGAGAGCCAAAGTTAGCGTCTTGCCCCAGCTGATGCTCATTTAATATTGAGCTGCGCATGAGCAGAGCACATACGTGTAATCTCCCTTAGATTTCCACAGTGGCATTAGAGCGCCGTCTACTGATGTCTTTGAGTATTGACCTCATGTCAAAACTGTATAACAGAGTTAGATTAGTTCAAATAATTAACAAAAAACTAGGGGGTGTCTGTTTACATGAAAAACTTAACATGTGGCATTTCCAACCCACTACATGTTATTATAATTTTACTGTAACTGAGTCAGAGCTGTAACTGGAAAGTCTGGACAGACATTAACCATGTCCGCCATGTTGTATGTTTTCAGAAGAAGCGGTGGAATAAGAGTAGAAACAGAGAAACAATCAGCCTGTGGAGAGGCCAGAGAGGAGTGGCTGTTACCCCGCTGTCTGAGCCTCTTAATGCGGCCTGAGCTCGACCGGACAGCCGCTTAACAGCTCTGACTTTCTCTGTGGGTGAGTGGTCTGTCATTAGATTTACACTACAGGACTGATGTGGACTCAGTGTGGCGGGGTGAGGGGCTGACAGGGTTTTTAAGGCGCTGTTTGATGTTCAGAAAGACAGTTAACACCACATCACATGAGTCAGAGGCTCCTGGTTCTCCAACAGGAAGTAGTGTGGCTTCTTACTTATGTTTTACATGAATATTAGCCTGATCAATATTGACTATTATTCCCTATCACTGATCAATACTTACTGTGACTCCCTATCACTGATCAATACTGACTATTAATCCCTATCACTGATCAATACTGAACATGTCATGTTGTTGTCAGAGCTTTACTGAGACTTTATTTATTACTAATTTCTCATTGCTGGATCAATAATCAGGATCAGATTCTTCAGAGTAACTGAGCACATGTACTCTAGTGCAGTTCTGAGGTACTTGCACTTCTCTGGAGTGTTTCCATGTTCTAGTACTTTATACTTGTACTGCATTAGACATAGACTGTCAGATAAACTCAGTGAGTCAGTAGATGTTAATGATCGTCCATGATCCCGTGTGTTTGCTGGGCTGCTCTTCACGTCACTGCAGCTTCATGACGCCATCTAGTGGACGGATGGTAGAAGTACAGCAGCTGATGGCAGCTTCCTCTGCCTCACACTGATATGAAACAGAGAAGAAGAGCCAATCAGTGGAGGAGCAGCTGGAGAAATGATGTACATTTGAGTTGATGTGCAGATGAATGATGTGTGTTTCTCTCCACATGAAGGTAGAAAGTGTGTGTGAGCTGATGTGGATGTGAACTCAGCAGCATGGATCAGTGTGAGGACAGAGAGGAGGGAGCCCCTCCCTCTAAAACCACTCTGTGTGGGGAACATGAGAGCCAGACCAGAGCTCAGAGGTGAGATGAGGATCTCTAACTGTCCATGACTCACATCACTGCTCCATCATTATTCACACTCAAAGCTCTGTGTGTGTTAGAGACACACCACACTCTGCTGGACCTGGACCTGGACCTGGACCTGGACCTGGACCTGGACCTGGACCTGGACCTGGACCTGGATCTGGATCTGGACCTGGATCCAGCTGTGTGTCCATGAAAGGTGACTGGTTGATGGATCTTCCTGTTCATTTCAGCCAATCTGTTGATGGAAGGTCAGAATTTAAAACAGTCAGAAAGACGTTTCTCACTAGAAGTCAGTTGTTGTGTTTATTTAAAGATTGAAGATATTTTTCTCCAGTTTTTATTCAACATGAACATTTATCAGTTCTGTTTTTGTTTCAGGATCCAGCAGCAGAGACCAGACTCTCCTGAACCCAGCTGTCTGTCTTTAAAGAGCGACGAGTTGAAGGATGTTTTCATTGTGTTTAAAGGGCGACGTCCATCAGCTGATCAGATGTAAGCTGTAACTGACAGTGAGACTCAGGTTATTGTAGAAAAGAACTAGTTTGTACGACGTGTTGTTGGACCTGGTCTGAAATCAAAGTGTTTGTGTCTGTTGTGAACGTCCTCACTGGAAGGTGGAGGTAAAACAGTGGAGGGTTGGTGAGAGCTGTTGGGACTAAAGCAAACACTGAGCTGAAAGCTACAAACAGCTGCAGACTGAGCTGTTGATTCTCAGTGGGATCGGCAGGACTAGTAAACCTTTACCGCTACAGGGAGTTGTCTGATTTGCTGTCACATCCAAACATGACTTCATGGACCTTTAGCTTGTGTCTGTCTCTGTGTGGACAGACATAATGTGAGCTCATTCTTCATGATTCCTCCACAGAGTGGACCAGGAGAGCTCAGAGGTTCCCAGTGCTCAGTCTGCCCAGCAGCATCAAACACAGCTGGACTCCATATTTATGGTCTGTACATGTACAACAACTACTGTCCCATCTGTTGTGTTCACAATAATCTCCATGCTGCACTTTCAGACCAGTGGACTGTCAGTCTGTCCAACATGGATCTGATCTGAGACCTTCCAACCAGTCTTCTAACAACCTGAGCTGTTCAATGAGTCATTGCATTGTTCTTTCTTTAAGGATTTCACTCTTTCTTTTGCAAACCAGTCTTCAAAATTTAATCAAGTCTAGTAGGAATTGAACTCATGACCTTCAACCACGAGTCAGTTTCCTAACAGCTTGAGCTGTTTGGTTAGCTGTTTGATTTTGCTTTCTTGAAGGTTTTCATTCTTTGTTTTGCAAACCAGTCTTCAAAACATTGAGTCTCATCAGGTTTGAACTCACATTCTCAGACATTCAGAACAGTCACCCAACAGCCTGAGCTGTTAGTTTGACAGTTGACTGTTGTTTCTTAGAGCCTTTGACTCTTTGCATTGGGTGTTGGACTTTAAAACTCTCTGAGTTTCATAAGAGTTGAACTCATGCCCTTTGATCAACCAGTCAGTTTCCTAACAACCTGAGCTGAAGCTGTTTGACAAGAAGCTTGATCTTTCGTTCTTGAAGCTTTTCAGTCTTTCATTTGCAAACCAGGTTTCAAAACATAATTGCGTCTTAGTAAGAAATGAACTCTCGACCTTTGACTAACAGGTCAACCTTCTAAAAACCTGAGCTATTAGATGCTTGATCTGTCTTTTTTTTAAGCTTTTCACTCTTTCTTTTGCAAACCAGTCTTCAAATTTTCATTTAAGCTCATCAGGTTTGACCTCAGAACAGTCTTTTAACAGCCTGAGCTTAGGGCTTTTGAGTCACTTGGACTTCAAACTTCACTGCAGCTTGTGATCATTGAAGACCAAGACCTCAAAACTTCAGAGTTGTCTTCATATTTCCTGAATAAGTTGATCATTGGTACTTCAGCCTTGTTCCTTGGAGCTCTAACTGCTTCCTCTGGACATTAGTATTCTCTGGTTCTCTTGCTCATTGAACCACTCAGTGACACAAACCCATAATTTCTTACAGTTCTTCAGTCTTTTCTACAAATGTCAGATCTGGATTCATTGCACCTAATGAGGATCAATCTCACAATCTTAAAGCTGCCAAGCCGTTTCCCTGACACACTCCATTTCTTAAATCCTTTGAGTGTTTCTCTTGGTGTTGGGCCTCAAAGGCTTTAACTCCTGACCTCAGACCTGAAGAGCAGATCTCAAACACCCTGAGGTTTGGGGTCTTGGTCTTTAAAATTCACTGAGCTTCATATGGATTGAACATATATCCCCAAAACTAGTTCCAAGTAAACCTCCAACACATGAGCTCTTTAGTTACACATGAGCTCCATTTCTTCCTTTGCCATTAAAATGTGTTTAGTCATTGGTTTGTTCAGAGAAGCTAGCCTTCTGTTTCTTGTAGCATTTAACACAATTTATTTATTTTTCCTTCAAAATTGACTCGGGCCTCAAACACACAACCTCAAAATGATCAAAGACACTTTTTAACACCCTGGGACAGACACATGAAGACATTTCTTACAGCATTTCAGGCTTTTATTCCAGACAGGATTTACAACATGTAGTAACTCACATGTGAACCAGCGCTCATAACAGTAACCTTTGTGGGGTTTTTCAGGGGAGGATCTTTGCGGGAGCAGCCGCTCTGTCCTCTCAGGTTCTTTTCTCAGCAGCTTCGAGGACGGCGGCAGTGCTGTCCTTCGCCTCCTGCAGCAAGGCCGACACTCTTTTCTGAGTCTGCAGCACAAAATGGCATCACAACCACCCAGACGATTAATGGTGAGACTTGATTTACAGATAAGTGACTTGGAAAGAGCACATGAGCACACTCACAGCCGCTCTGAAGGCATCGTCTGTGATGTCTTTGAGGTTGATCATCACGTTGTAGTACGCTCCAAAAACAGCTGTCTCCAAAGCTTTAGCTGCGACCTGGAAACACCAGACAAAACATCATAGGTGTTAATGAGGAAACTCGTTTATTTAATGCACCTTAATAATCTCTGATAATAATAAGAAACTTATTGCTACAGCAGCTTTTAACATAACATGACAGAAACTAATTAACTGTTGTTAGTTCATCTCCAGCAGCAGTGACTAAGCTGAAGAGTCTCACCTGAGCAGGTAGAAACCAGTGTTTGTGTCTCACCTGAGCATCAGACTTGCAGGCGACATTTCCGTAGACGACCATTTCTTTAAGAGGCGGCCAGAGGACACTGACCCTCTCCGCCAGAGCCAGCGGGACGCCCACGGCTCTCTGCAGCCCCCCCTGCATCGCAGCCTCTCTCCTGACAGCAGAACAGAGGACATCTGTAACAGCACATACACATCTGGAACAGCACACACATCTGTAACAGCACACAAACATCAGTACACATCTGGAGCAACACACACACACACACACACACACACATCTGGAATGTGTACACATCACCCTACACATGAATGCATTTGGAGCATTTAACCAGAGAAAACCAGGAGGAGTGAGACATGACCTCTGAATCTCTTCTGTCGTCGTCTTTGGCATCTTCAGCGCCGCCTGCAACAAACAGACAAAGACAAACAGTTTAACATGTCAATCATCTGCCCGTGGCACAGAGACCCTCATCTGGTCCAGACTTTGTGTCCTCCTGTCTCGGAGCGTCCTCCTCACCATGTAGCTGTTGAAGGCGGTCGAGTCAGCGTCCACCATGTGCAGCAGCTCGTTCATGGCCTGATGGAACGGAGGAATCAGCCTCCTCATCACACCGTCCACCTTCTCAAACTGCCTCTTCCCGTATGTCATCTGACCCACCATGGCCCCCAGCGCTGCCCCCTACAGGATCCACACACAAAACACGCTCACAGAGACGTTCAGATGTGGAGAGGTATCACTCTGTCGTATGAACACGGTGTAAAAACTGGTACCAGAGCAGCGATGGCAGCAGAAACGGATCCTCCTCCAGGAGCTGCCGTCCGAGCTCCGACATTCCGAATAAACTGCTGCAGAGACAGAGACACCAGCTGGCTGTCCTCCTGTGACCTCACCATGTACCTGCACAGGTGCAGCCAACAGCAGCAGCTTTTATCCAGAGCTCAGGTCTTCACAGTGAAACCATGACAGACGGTCACATGTCACCTCCACCAACTACCCATGACCACCTGCATCTCTCAGTGACTGATGCTGCCTTCAGAGAGATGTCTGGCTCTGCAGCCTGAAGCTTCAGTGATGCTCCTCACTGTAAGTAGCTCAGACAAGAGCTTTCCCTTTGTACTGAGCACACACATTATTAATGTGAGGTATCAATAAGAAGAAGAACTCACTCTATGATTCTCTCCTTTGGCTCGAACGGGCCGAGAGAGTCGAGGCCCAGTTTGCTGATGACCTGTCGACACAGAGACAAACACAGCTTCAGATCCTGAGGTCTGAAAACGTCTCTGACACTTTACTGTGTTTCATAAAGACACTGGTGTCGCTGACCAGCCGGACTCTGTGCTCCTCCTCCACAACGAAGAGTCGCTCTCTGCTGATGTAGAAGTCTGCAGCATCCAGCAGAGCCTTCAGAGGGATCAGACCCACGATCTGAGAGCCCACCACCGGGAGGTTCAGGTCCTGCACACACAACAACTGTAACACACTGCAGCACCACTGTCAGTGACTCTGTCAGCAGAGGGCGCTGCAGGCTCAGTGACGATCAGTGAGAGGTGAAAATCATCCTCTCTTATTGATATTGATATTTTTATGTTTCGACTCATGATTCATTCTTTCCTCCTAATCGTCCCCTTGGAGTTAAAAGGTTTCTATCTGACTTGACGTATATGTAGGTCTTTTCGTATATGTAGGTCTTTTCTTTAAGTTTAGGCATTTTTGGATAAAAAGATTCTATCTTTCCTAAGATTCTTCTTCCGAGCCAATCAGCACTTAGAATGCATACAAGACGACCAATCAGCTTCTGCCTCTGTGTCACAGAGAAGACAGAAGACTGAGCGGAGATGAGAAAATGACACGAGGTTCATCTTTTTTCAGCTGTGTTAGTGCTGAGGAGCCAACTAATGAAAAAGTCAAAGTTTTAAATGCACATAAACACTCATTTCATTCATTCATTCATTTTCTTTTTCTTTTTTCCCAAAAAAACAGATTTTGTTGCAGCAGAGAAACAAATCCTAAACCTGCCTTTATACTGACCTGCTGTCTAACATAAAGGGAACTTAAACTAATGCTTCCTATATTTGTTTATAATATTATAAAATATATATATATATATATATTGCTTCTGTTCATGTTCTGCAACATAGAACCTTATAATTCAGAGAGTTCTCAGGATTACAAGGTTCTATCTGCATTTGACCTGTTCCTAAAAAGGCCACATTTACAAACCTGACAGATTTCGATATTGTCTGTGTAGAACATTCAGAGAGTCTGTCCTCTTCATGTGCAATAGAGATTCCTGTTGCACTTCAGATTCACTGTTTCAAATGCAAAAACTTTGAAGCTCAATATCTCAAAACCGCTCAGAACGCAGAACCTTAGAACTGGAAGGGGACGTAATATTAAAGTGCATTTATATTACACTGCATATACATATACATATATAAATATTAACTTTAGTTTCACATCAGATCTGTGGAGCCTACGTTACAGATTCATGTTAATGTTAAAGTGAAGCTGTGTCGACCTCTGACCTCAGCGTCCCTGCAGATCTCCTGGTACACAGTGTGGAGGGGGGTCAGCTCGTAGTCCAGGATGTTGGTGGACACCTGAGCCAGGTTGGCTTCGTCCAGGTACCAGCCCATTCCCTGCACCTTCTTCAGCAGCCCGGGCTGGTCCACACAGAAACACTGGGTTAACATCTGTCCAACAACTGGTAATCAACCTGAGACACGTCTGTCATCATGTTGTTCGTCTGTCAGTAACATCAGAGTCAAACAATGAGGCTGATTAATGATCTGACTGTTGGTGTGAGACGAGCCCTGATCCAGGAACAAACACTGAGCCTGTAATTAACCTGGAACCTGAGACATACCAGATTTTCTTTGTTAGTCTGGAGGCAGTGAGCAGGTTGGACAGCAGAGGGCGCCACAGCCTCACTGAGTCAGAGCCAATCAGCTTCAAGGATAAAAGGTTAGTAGATAAACAGTGATGAGGTCAGAGCGAGATGTGTAGAGATGTTAACGAGTGAGAATAATTAAACAAGACAATCGCCTGCTGAGGGACTCCCACTCCCAGCATGCACCTGGTCTTTCCCTCGGCCCTGCTCCCTGATGTCCAGGGCGATGCGGTGAGCCTGCTCTTTGGTGGCGATCAGGTTCACGTTGTAGGCGATGAGGAACTTCCGTGCGCCAGTGACCGTGGCGCCCCAGGATGGTACGAAGACTGCGGGGCCGAAGTCAGGGGCCCACTCCTCACGTTTCAGCTGGAGGAGGGAAAAATAAAAACTGCTGAGCTGCTTCTGTTGGAAACTGAAACAGGTTCCAGGTGTTTTTACCTGGTTCTTTTCTAGATAGAGTTTTGAATGTTTGAGAATTCTACTTCTTCTTTGAAATCAGACTTTTATTTTGAAACCAGCTGCTGAACATCAGCCTGTGATGATCTGCTCAGGGGGGATTTTCTGAAGACTGTGTTGCGTTTGGAAACAGACTGCTGAACAAATGAAGTAGCAGTGTGATTGGCTGTGGGAGACTCACCTTCTCAGGTAGAGCCTCATACTCTCCGGCCCTCACAGAGGGAAGACTCCTCCTCGTCTCTCTTCGAGCTGCTTCTCCGTAAAGATAAACTGAGGAGGAAGAGATGAGAGATTCTACATCTTTCATTTCTCCATGTGATCATTTACTTTAACACGCTCACACAAAACTTTTCTGTGACTGAATTAATATTCTTTATTATCACTGAGAGCCTCACGGGAGATGAAGGTTCAGGTGATTCATCCACCTGACATTTCTTTAACTCAATATTTTAGTCGTGATCTTTCAAACCTTCCTCTGTACTATTATCTTTATTGTAATTTTATACATTTTTAATTACAGTGTGTATTACTGTTATTATTCTATATTTTAATTTTGTAATATTTGTTTTAAAGCCATTTATTTATTCACTCTTTACTTTCTAACATTCGGACATTCGTGTGTAAAACTGTAAAACTGACATTAAAATAAATGAATAAATATATATAAATATTCTATTTATTTTCAAATAAACTGCATTTATTTAATTTGATTTATTTCTTCATTATTTGATTGATCAATGATAACAGATGTCTGATTATTGTCATTACTGGAGCTCTCTTGACCTCTGCTTTAAGTCTGGGTTAATCTCCCATAATTCATCTGTGCTATCTCACCGGGGACGTGCAGCATCTCTGACAGTTTCTGTCCAAACATGTTGGCGCAGTGGACGCAGTCATCCATGGTGACGTTCTGGACGGGGATGAAAGGACAGACGTCCAGTGCTCCAGTCCGAGGGTGCTCACCTGGCCAGGTAACACACACGTCAGACATTTCCTTCTGTATAATAACCCCCCCCCATGTAGCTGTAGGACCCACAGACCTGAGTGTTTGCTCATGTCGATGAGGCTGAAGGCCTGGCGGGCGGCATTCAGCGCTCCCTCCACCACAGCCTCAGGAGAGCCCACGAAGGTGTAGACAGTGCGGTTGGTGGAGGCCCCGGGGTCGACGTCCAGCAGGCTGCAGCCTGAGGTGCCGGAGATGGCGGTGGAGATGGCGTCGATCACCTGACACACAGGAAACAGTTTGACCAGCTGATCCAGACGATGCTACTGATGTCTCTGCTCATGTCCCCCCCCCACACACACACACACAGCTGACAGTGAGCAGTGTGAAACTCTAACTACAGACTCATGTTTGTGTTTAATTATTGTACAATCCTGTTGAGCAGCTTCTCTCCTCTGACAAAACAAACAGGTCAAAGGTCAAAGGTCAGTTTATTTTCCACTGACAGTAGTACAACCAGGTCCAGACTGTCTGACTAACTAACAGCAGGGTCCACTTCCTTCCAGAGCTTTTAAACCATATCACAGTCTTCTTCATCAGATCAGACCAGAGCTCTCAGTCCTCTGACTTGAGCTTCTTCTGATGAAGCTGATGAAGATAAAACTGAACATCAACACATCTCCATCACATGCATGACACTAAACATCATTTACACTGAATATAAAGATGAATGAATGAATGAATGAAAGAAGAGAAGCTGCGTCAGGTTAAAGATGAAGACACGACCTCTTTGTCTCGACCCTCGGAGAAGTTTGGGACACACTCCACCAGCTGAGCCATGGTGTCTGCTGAACGACTGGCTGAACGACTGACTGAACGACTGGCTGCAGAGTCTGCAGGTCCAACTCCAACCCTCCAAACACACACACACACACACACACACACACACACACACACACACACACACGTCTGACAGGCTTGAATCATTAACAGCTCTGCATCAATGATTGCCACACACTCCTCTGAACAAACACTAGGTCTAAACCTGCTGCTGCCCCCTACAGGCTGCTCAGCTCATCACAGTCTGTCCTGTGGAGCTGATTGATAGGAACTGTTTTCATTATTGATTAATCTTGATTAACTGTTGACAACTGTGGACACATGATCGAGCTGATCACTGATCAATACACGTTTGTTTCAGCTGCAGTGTGTCATGGTGCAGAGCCGCCTCACGGCCTGATGGTGGCGCTGGAGAGAAGCTCCGACTGAAGCCAACATCCAGGTGAGAGGTCATTTAAATCCTCTTCGATCAATCATCCTGAGACACTGAGCTCATTTTGCTGTGGTTTGATTATTGATTATTGATTAGACATTAATCCTGAGCTTTATTCTAAAGAAGAAGACTCAGTCCATGTCCAGCTCTTTACCCATGATGCTCGGTGTCACTCGTGTTTATTTGTGACATTAATGTATTGATCTGCCTTTGTTTGGTGTAGGAGGTCAGAGGTCAAAGGTCAGAGTCTCAGTGTTGATCAAAGAGTTGGAGCTTAAAGTCGGAGGGAGACGTTTCCACAGACGACGTGAAGTATGAATAAATAAATGAATAAAAGCTGAAATTTGTAACTAAATACATAAATAAATACAAAATAAAAACATTTTGGATATAAAAATACCATTTCTGTATTTCTACATTTATTGATTGAAATGTAAAAATACTGAAATATGTTTTTGTTTTGCATTTATCTATGTATGTATTTCAGTATTTATTGATTTATTTATTTTTTGTCCTTCATAAGACGAAGCAGCAGAATTTAAAATGTAAATATATAGATTTTCTACATGAATCTGTAGAGATACACTGATCCTTCAGTCAGCTGTTTATTTGCTTTAATCAATATGAAAACTGAGCAGCGTCTCCTTCATCAGCTGCATGTGTTTCCACTGCTGGAGCCTAGGTGGCGCCACACCACCAAATATCACAGCTGAGACTTAAACCTTGTTTAATGTTCCTTTCATTTCACATGAGCATTTTCCATTTAGCTTTATGATGATAATAATAATAATAAGAAGAAGAAGAAGAAGAAGAATAGTATTTATCTTCCCTTTTCTCTCTGAATTTTCCCTTTTAATTTGAACTCTGGGTAAAAATAAAACTGAAACTGAATTTTGGATGAAAGAGAAATGTTGAATAATTGAGCAGCAGAGGATTTTAACGAGGTTCATGTTGTTTCACCTCTGCACAGAACATGTGATGGTTTTACCGTCAGCGGCTGAGACCGTTTCCCTTTTAGTGATTGATAATATTTTTCAAATCGGACAAACATTCACAGAAGCTGCTGATTTACAGCTGTTATCATCACATTCCGGATCCAGCCAATGATTTGTGGTTGTTTTTCTCTCTAGTGTCGCCTCCACTCTGTCAATCAATCTATATTTATTAATATATCACCTTTCATGCACATGCATGTTGTTCAAAAAGCCTCATCAGTGACTCTTAACTGGACCAGATTAATTAAACTAACCCTAACCCCAAACTAATCCTAACCCCATTCACAGATGAAAAAATGCAGTAAAATAAAAAATTGATTTAAGTGGAGAGTCACGTTGTTTCTTGCAGTGTTGAGCCAAACAGTTAATAAAGAAGTTTTATGATTTGATGATGCAGCTCTTTATGACACTTCCTCCACTGCAGCTCAAACACTCGCCCAGAACAACATATGGACGCACGTCCACTCCACGTCTCTGATCTGCTGCTGCTCATCATGATGGACGTTTGGGTTTTGCTCGTTTTCACTTTGGGTAAGAAAAGTTGACTTTCACTTCACTCACACAGGAAGGTTTGTTTGGTTTGTTTATGGCTGCAACAGGATGATATCTGAGGTGGTGACCTACAATACTGCATCACAATTACTCCTTTAGCTTGAAAACACTGACTCCGACACATTTCTGTATTCTTCTGAAATCTTCCTTCTACTAACACGTGCACACAATCAAATATGATGAAATAATGTGTGTGAACACAGTTTGTCAGGAGGCTCGTCTCTGATTTCTTTGTCCTAATTCACTCATCTGGGATTCATTAGTGTCATTAGTTGTTTTAGTTAATCTGAGTTTAATTATGAGATTTAGATGATTTTAAATTTGATATGATGATTTACTGAAGCTTGATGCGAGTCTAAAAGAGAATATTCAGGGTACCACTTTACAATCAGACTCTCCTTTGAAATATGATGGTTTATAACTAGTTTATTCAATAGCTTGTTATAAGATGTTTCCTGCCAAATAGTGAGCTGACATGTATCTGAACTGTTCAGCCACATCTCTCTTTGTTTTCTCCATCATCAGCATCTGTAGCTGCTGCTTCATCTCGTTTGTTCAGTTACTAATGAACCACCATCAGCATCAGAAAGTTTCATCTGGCAGATCAAATGATGGCAGACCACATGATCCTATCACATGACCAGATTCATCCTCTGAGGCCTTGGCAGTGTTGTTTACCTCGACATTCTTTGTCCCACTGTTCACATCTCTGTGATTCTCCCGCCATCATCTTCATTTTTACAACCATTTATTAATCATTTATTTAATGAGTAACTAATGTTCTCCTGTTACCAGCTTTAAATGGTAGTAACACATTAGTCACATTAATGAGTAGTAAGCAGTAACTTCATCTTGCCAAATAGTGTTTATTTATTATAAAGTATTAACAGCTGAATTAATAACCCAACTTTAAACTATGTATAAATGCTTTATAAAGCTGGTCTGATTGTGACGTGGAACCCACTCTGTTGATCTAAATCAGTTTCCATCAGAAGTTAAAAGCATGAACTGTGGTCCACCACACTGGTCCGGACTGAAACACGTCAACATCTGTTGGATGGACTGTGATGACGTGTTTCAGACGTTCATGCTCGCCTCAGGATGAACTGTAATAACTGATGACCTCCTGACTTTTCCTCTGGCGCCATGTCAACATTTTAGTTAGTCCAGTACATGATGAATGTTGTACCTGCTGAACACCAGCATGTTAGCATGTTAGCCTTGTCACTATGCCATCGTCAAGCTAATTATTGTAATAATTATGCGTCTGCTCACAGCTGTTCCTCTGGCCTCTACGACGACGACGACGTCAGCTCCTGCAGCTACTGCAGCTACTGCAGCTACTACTGCTCCTGTTCCTGTTACTGCAACCACCGTCCAAGAAAATACTTCTCTAACTCCAGGAAATACTATTCTAACCACCGTCCAAGAAAATACTTCTCTAACTCCAGGAAATACTATTCTAACCACCGTCCAAGAAAATACTTCTCTAACTCCAGGAAATACTATTCTAACCACCGTCCAAGAAAATACTTCTCTAACTCCAGGAAATACTATTCTAACCACCGTCCAAGAAAATACTTCTCTAACTCCAGGAAATACTATTCTAACCACCGTCCAAGAAAGTACTTCTCTAACTCCAGGAAATACTATTCTAACCACTTTCCAAGAAAGTACTTCTCTAACTCCAGGAAATACTATTCTAACCACTTTCCAAGAAAGTACTTCTCTAACCACAGTTTCAGAAAGTACTACTCTAACCACTATCCCAGGAGGTACCACTGTTCTAACCTTTGCTCCTGAAAGTACTACCCAACCCACTGAATCAGAAAGTACTACCCAACCCACTGAATCAGAAAGTACTACCCAACCCACTGAAAGTACTACCCAACCCACTGAATCAGAAAGTACTACCCAACCCACTGAAAGTACTACCCAACCCACTGAATCAGAAAGTACTACCCAACCCACTGAAAGTACTACCCAACCCACTGAATCAGAAAGTACTACCCAACCCACTGAATCAGAAAGTACTACTAATCCTCCTACTAATACTACTACTACTACTACTACTCCTACCACTACTCCTCCTACTAATACTACTAATACTACTACTCCTACCACTACTACTCCTCCTCCTACTACTACTCCTCCTACTCCTCTTACTACTACTACTACTACTCCTCCTCCTACTAATACTACTACTCCTCCTCCTACTAATACTAATACTACTACTACTACTACTACTCCTACCACTACTCCTCCTACTCCTACTACTACTACTACTACTCCTACCACTACTCCTACTACTACTACTCCTCCTACTCCTCCTCCTACTACTACTACTACTACTACTACTACTACTCCTACTACTCCTCCTACTCCTCCTCCTACTACTACTACTACTACTACTCCTACTACTCCTCCTACTACTACTACTACTACTACTCCTACTACTGTTACTCCAACAACAACTACTCCAACTACTACTTCCACCGCCTCCCCCACCCCACCCCCTCTGGTGTGTAATAATGGCGGGGTGGCTCAGAACAATGTGTGCACCTGTCCGGACCAGTGGAGCGGAGAGACGTGCTCAGAAGGTGAGCTCGGTGTAGCCACAGCAGCATGAACCAAACTCAGACCTTTTTAATGATTGAACATCCTGATGGTTGATTGTGATTGATCGTGTTTGTCACTTCTGCACGTTGAGCTCCACTCTCTGGTCCAATCGGCAGAAAGCTAAAACCCTGCTGTTCTGTAGCTCCATGGACAGTACAGCTTCTAGAAGCTGCTGACACGGCCATGAATTTAGACTCTTCGGCTGCAAAACACACATTAGTCCAGAGTGATACAAACTGACCAACAAGCCAAACTCATCTCAACTCTTATTCATCTCATCCTCTTAGAAAACTTCTGCAAAGGTGGACTTGTGGATAATTTCACATTCAAAGATACACCCATCGGCTGGTTCGCTTATTCTGACGAAGTCTGTCCCACAGGAACGAGTGGTGGTAGGTTTCATCCATCTACAGATGAATCCATGGAGATCCATCCACCTGTCAGTCTGATACACTGGACTTTGTTTTGTCCATGCAGCTGGTAAACCAAAGGCTTCCACCAGATGTTCCAACAAGACCGGATCACTTGGTTTGGACCGTCCGCTGCAGCTGCTCCAGTGTGATCAGACGCTCAGCAACATACAACTAAATGTAAGAGACGCTGCGAGTGTGTTTAACAGTGATATGGAATATTATATAATAATATATAATATATACAGAGCTGAGACTCTTTGAGTGTCGGTCATCCTGTAGAAAGGCAGATGTTCATCCGGCCCAATACGTAGGTAAAGTCAAGTGTGTCAGATTCAGGTAATAAATGCATGATCATGTGTTTCCTCTCAGCTCACCAACGTGGCTGATTTAGAGACACTGGCGTCCAGCACACAAATTCTGACGTCCAGACCTGGAGAGCTGACGGCCGACAACATTACGACCGCAGCTCATATCGTCAACACGCTGCTGCTGTCTCCTAACGCCACAGAGGTAAGAGCTGAGGCTGTAAACAACGAACTGAATGATGGTTTATGACAGACTCTGGACTGTAGAAACCTACGGTGTGTTTGACCATGAAGAAATATTCTGCTGTAACAGTGTGTTGGTGTTTGTATCGCAGAGCGTCAGGGTGGCAGCAGTAGCTACAGTCAGTCAGCTGCTCAACGCCAGCACTCCAGACACCGAGGAAAACAACGCCACTCTGGGGTAAACACAGACGACCAGTTTGTCCACATCTCATGTTTAAATATCTATATTTTATCAATTTAATATTATACCATTATAATACGGACACATAAATATATCAATCCAATATCCATCAGTGTTTCAGTGGAACTTTACAGACCATTTCTTCAGATAAACATTTTAACTGCAGGTGATGGATTTTATCATCAGTGTCTTTTTAGCTTCCTAATGTGTTGGAAACACGTCAGACTTTAGATTTGAGCTAAAATGTGTTTAATGTTGGTTTTAACCCAAAGAAACGACGGACTGTGGCTCATGTCTTGTATCCATATTTGGTTTTCACAGTTTTTATTCTGAAGCACAAAGTGAGATATATCAGTGCTTTTACGAATCATTTCCTGCTGTGATTAAGACTTGGTTGTTGACGTGGACGTAGTTTACAAATAGAAAACTGGAGGAGGAGGGTTTCTGATTCAGATCAAAAATAAGTCAACAAGACTAAACTGAGCATTTCATGATTATAGAGTTTCACATTTTAAGATTCTCACAGTTGATATTTGATCTTAGACGTTTCACAGCTGCGGCTCAAACAATTTGTGGTTAAACACAGAGGCTCGACCACTGAAGAACATAGAGCCTGAAGCTGGACCTGACCTCTGAGCAGACAGGACAATGATGAGCCTGGTGTGTTCTGTATGTTTGTGTGTTTCAGCCTGACGCGGACCCTGGACCAGCTCTCTGTGAACCTCAGCACCAACCTCAACAACTCTCAGTCTCAGGTGGTTCAACCAAACCTGGTGGTGCAGTCAGCACAGGTCCCTGCGTCCGACAATCAGGGCGTTCAATTCACCTCTCTCACGGGTCAGTGGTCCGGACCAAGCCGACCATGACCTCTGGTCAGCTCGTAACTAACCACACGTATGACGACTGATGGTTATGATGGAGGATTAGAGGACGCTGGAACCTGACCACAGTCTGATAATTAAAGCTCACGGCGGTCATGAAGTCCAGGTCGTTCGACCCAGTTTCCCACTCTCACAGCCTCAGTCAGCTGTGGTGTTATATGATCATCTGGACTACTTTCTCTTTTGTACTTTTATGACTTTATATCTTTAATATTCTACTTTGTTTGGACTTTTATTGCCTCTGTTAAATTCCTCAGAACAGTATCAGTGCATGTGACCCATGTTGTGAGTTTGGCATAATGAAAATTCAAATTTGTACTTTGGACTTGAACATGATTTACAAGTCAAACCTGGTATTTACAGGAAGTCAGATATGACACGATGCATAAGTGACATCACAGGGAGTGAGCTCCATCTGCTGTTGTGTCCTCGACGTTGAGTCTGTGGATCTCTGATGATGACATCATCACTAACTGATCTGACGTCTCCATGGTTTCAGGAACGTCTGGCAGTTTTGTTGCCAACCGGATTCAGCTGAACACCAACACGTCAGCGGTGGGGGTGGACAACGGATTCGTAGCCGACGCCCTGATCTACGTACGATTCGCAGCAGGTTGGCTCCTGCACTAGAGAACTTTAATAAACTCGCAGACATAATGTTACTGCTGTCAGGCCCAGGTTAACTACAGCAGCACACCGAGGTTATTTTACTGTGCTGCTCATTCTGAAAATAAGACTAAAGGTCCTCTTGTGTCTGTAGAAGCCGTCAGCAGACGTCAGGAGCCGTCAAACGTCTCTCTGGGTTTCGTCCTCTACCAGAACGACCGGTTCTTCAGGTCCAGGATCTATAGGAGTCGTCACGCCACCGTCAGGGTGCTGTCGGCCACGGTCGGAGGTCGTGAGCGCAGCGTGGTGCCACAACATGTGGAGATACAGTTCAGACCAACGGTGAGAAAACAGTTAAGGTTCATATTTAATGTGGATGTTAAACAGACTTTTCTGACTGAGGAAACTAACTAACTATTTACATGGTGATCAATGATCAGTTTTCAATCTGTTGGATTTGTGCATTAGAAAACACCAGCTGATGAACAAGCCTCATGATCACAGCCTAGTTCATTCAGTCTCTTCCTCCTTCCTTCACCATGTATCGCTAAAGTTAGAGATGTTCAATGTGCTGCTGTTTCAGCTGTTGAACAGGACGTCTCTGTACAACTTCGCCTGTGCTTTCTGGAACTACAGCAAGGAGGACTGGAGCACTGTCGGCTGCTCCAAAGGAAACGCCTCGGACGGAGTCCTCCGATGTTTCTGTAACCACACCACCAACTTCGCCGCTCTCTGGGTAACGTCACAACACTCAGCTCCATTAAACCAAACTCAGATACGACAAACGGCTTCGTAGACTGAAGCAGCAGTTCACACGTTAAAGAGAAGATTCCACCTGAATCATATAATTCTCTCCCAGTATTTAATCATCATCAACTGTAAATGTTACAAATGTAAGAAGAGAAATTACATGATGATGGAGATGTAGTGAAACTTTGTGTTTCAGTCTTTCAGGGAGGACTATGAGTACGCAGAAGCTCTGGACTGGATTTCCTTGGTTGGACTGTCTGTCTCTGTTCTGGGTTTGGTGGTAACGATCATTTACCACATTAAAGACAAGTAAGACTCCAGTTCTCGAGGGAGACCAATCGTTTCTTTCATGCATCTTCATTTTGTATTAAAGTGGTGTTTTTATCTTGTATTACTGTAAATGATCTGAATATTTCTTCATCTCATAATTATAATATTTTCAGAACTAAGTCATATTTTTTATTTATTTTGAGAACATCGAGAAAGTTGAAGCAAAAACTCAATTTTAGGACAAAGTATCAAACCTGTGAGAAAAAGTTTTTTCTAAAAAAGGAAAAAAGTCTAAACTTTGAAAATGACATTTTAGAATAAAATAGGTTGTTTTCAAAATACTACAAATATTTTACTAACTGAGAATTAACTTTACTCTCAATTTAATTAGTAAAATATAAAAACGTTACGACGTCCTTCTCGAAATATTACGACTTTTTTCTTGAAAATACTATCCATCCATCCATTTTCTTCCGCTTATCCTCTAGTAGGGTCGCGGGGGGCTGGAGCCTATCCCAGCATTTTTTCGGGCAAGAGGCGGGGTACACCCTGGACAGGTCGCCAGTCCATCGCAGGGCAAACACATAGAGACAGACAACCATTCACTCTCACAGTCACCCCTATGGTCAATTTGAAGTATCCAATTAGCCTAGTCCCCATTTGCATGTCTTTGGACTGTGGGAGGAAGAAAAATGTGACTTTATTCCTGAAAGTTCTTCTCTTTAGTTTTCAGAAAAAGTCTCGTCAGAACAACAAGAACTCAAAGATGGCGCTGCTGTGTATCTACGTCAGCCTGCTGGCCTTCATCATCACCTTCCTCTCTGGTGTGCAGAACTCCCACCGGCAGGACGTGGGCGAGGTGCAGACTCAAACGAACGCCATCCTGGACTCTGACGAGCACGTGGAGCCGGACAGCGGCTCATGCACAGCAGTGGTGGCTCTGCTTCACTTCTTCCTGTTGGCCACCTTCATGTGGAACAGTGTGTACGCCACCCAGCTGGTGCTGCTGGTCAGGACCATGCACAGCAGTCTCCCCCCACACTGGACTCCGCTCAGTGTGGCTGTGGGATGGGGTATGAGACGTTAATAAGTGTTCAGTTAACAGAAACATATCTCCCACACAGCTCTTTCTATATTCATGTTGATGAAGTTGGCACTGGAGTATCTATTGTTGTATTTCTACGTATTGTATTTCTATGAGGAACTGTCCAAATACTTCTGGCCTTGACTGTATGAGAATAACCGTTATGATTTACCACGAAGCTTTAAGCTAACCCAAGAACATTCCTCACTGATGTTTTGACACATTAAAATATATGATTTTTAAAAAAAATCAAATTAAACCATTTTAAGTGATTTAACTTCTTGTATTATCTTAGGAGTCCCAGCTGTTGTCATGGCGATCACACTGGGAGCTACCTACAGGGTGGACAATCCTCTGGGATACAGACAGGAGGAATTGTGGGTCCATCCTTATAATTTATTCTCCCTTTGAAAACACAGTCACATGACTGGTCGTTGAACTTTGTTTAAATGAAGAAACTGTGAAGAAAACTCTGGTGTGAATAAAGCTCGCTGTTGTTTGACGAAGTGTCTGTTCATCCTCCAGCTGCTGGCTCGCAGGACTGGACAGGCACAAACATTTTGACTTTCGGAAACCGATGTTCTGGGGGTTCATCCTTCCTGTGGGTCTGATCCTGATCTACAACATGGTGCTTTTGGTCCTCACCTGCATGTCCATCTGCAAGACAGACCCCCGCCTCGCCAGGTAACACAGAACAAACACATCCATCATCTGAGAGCAGAGGGGTGTGGTGAAAACTCTTTTGTCAGTCATACTCTGACGGAGCTGTTCTGTCCTGCAGCACCAGTCAGTCTCTGGGGAAGAAGTTCCTCACCAGTTTCTCTCTGGCTGTGATACTGGGTGTGTCCTGGTCTCTGGGATACCTGGTCCTCGTCTCCTCAGAAGAAACACACCTCACCTTCAGCATCATCTTCTGCCTCTTTACAACCACACAGGTGTGTTTGTGTCATCCTCCTTTTTAGAATTGCTCTGAAGGTTTTGTTTGTTCTGTCCAGTTGAGAGGAGCTTGGACTGAGACAATGATTCTGATTCTTCTTCTGTATCATGTATGAAAAGATCAAACGGTCCAACACAGAAAGGAAGAATAAATAAATGGACACTGACCTTCATCTTCCTGCTGGTGTTTTCAGGGTCTTCAGATCTTCGTCCTCTTCACAGCCAGAAAGCCGTCGTTCAGAGCCACCGTCTCCCGCTCTGTGCAGTACGTCGCCTCGGTCAACGACATGCTCCACATGACCACGTACAGTCTGCAGAGGGTGTGGACGGGAAGGTCCGAGTCCGAGTCCGAGTCCTACAGAGACCTGAGAGACGACTGCACGGCCAGCAGCAAGACGCCGAAGGTTTCATCACCAGAGGTTCAGGACGAAGATCTGAACACAGACATGTAACAGAGGAGGATATCAATCCTCCTGGCAGCTCCAACAGAGACACAAACCTGATCAACATGGCTGCACACTCCCCATCATGCATCACCAGTGAGTTCAAACTCAAAGAAGACAAGATGAAAACTTTTGTTTCTTTTAACAGATCAAAGGAAGTCATGTTGTTTTCTCTGGTAATAATGAAGCCATGATGAATTCCCTTCCACACCTCCCCCACACCCCCACACCTCCCCCACACTCCCCCCCAGCCACTTGCCAACTCCCACAGCCTCCCCGCACAACCGCCCAGCAAACTGGCCCCATGGACCCGCGCAAAACCTCCCCAGAACTTCCCACATCTTGCCCAAACCTCCCGACACCTCCCGCACACCGCCCCCGACACCGTCCCCCGATAGCGCCCCCAAACCTCCCCGACACTGTCCCGCACAGCACCGCCACGACAGAGACTTCCCAAGAACCTCCACACTCGCCACACATATGTATAGGTGGTATATCGGGTGGAGCGAGGCGCTGCATGATCTCTGGGATATCTAGCAGATAGATCACAGTGCTGAAGGTAAGTGAAACTGAGCGTCGTGCTGAGCTCAGTTCGAGCTGTGACGCCCACGATGTACGAGCACAAGGTGGCAGCAAGCATTTAGACAGATTTAAATCACACGGTGCCCGAACGCCGAGTCACAACACAAGACATGACTTTTAATTATTTTACTTTTATTACCTTATATGTATTTTAAGATTATGATGAGTGGTGTGAATTAAGGTCTTAATATTGCAGTTGTTAGTTCTTAATTTATTTAATATCAATAGCTGGAAAACAATTGCACTGTTGTGTATTTTTGTTATTTGTACGTTACATTCATCATTTTGCTCGTCAAGTTTGATCTCGCTCGCTTTATTCGTCTGACATTCGTTCAGTGATTATCAAGAATATCCATCTTTCAGTTGAGTACTACATCTCCCGTGGGTGATTGTGTTGCTTCACAGTTAAAGATGAGCATGACATGATAATATGACTTGTTACAATAAAGGTAATACAGTTTTTTAATATACGTCAAGTAGATAATGACAAGTAGGAGTAATGAGTAACAGTTCATGGGACACAAACACTGGTCATACGAAGCCTGGTCCACCCATTGGCTGCAGCACTCTGAAATAAAGTGTCATTTCGATCTCTGTTATGTTAAAGTCTCCAACTGGACTTTAATGGTCTGTTTTCCCTGACTTCTGGTCTGGAACTGGTTGTTTACTGGTCAAGACCTGCAATACCAGTTTGACTAGTTCATTGATAAGATGCCCGATTGTGGATTAAAAGCTGATTGAAAACACAGGTATGGTTAAAGCATCAAAAGGTAGTTTTAAGGCCGGTGGGTGACTTTTGGGACCCATCCTGAGTCCACTCAGAGGGCGTCTTAGACACCAGCGTCAGATGACGGCTTGTCAGTGCCGTCTGTAGTTTCCATGCTGACTGTGTGAAGCCCGACTCATGTTTGTCTCATCTATGTGGTCTGGATTTGCGAGTCTTGGATCTTTCCCATCCTTTCATCCTCAAATGAACAGTTGGCGAAGGCGTGAACCGTCCAGGCTGCCGTTGTGATCAGTTTAATAAGGCTGTAAAAGCTTGCAAACCACCATTCGCTCCATGTCGCACGTCTGACTTTAGCGTCGCGACGTGTTTGTCTGCAGAGAGTGAAGATGCATGAGACGGCTGTTCGGCTTGTCTTGAGAACAGCTGCGCTCGATCACCGAAGGCTCTCGATTAGAAGGCTTCGTCGATAAAGCACCCGCGGAACAGCTGTCACCATATTCGCTGGTAACCTCGAGGCGGTCATGTCTTGGAGGTCGGCGGCGCGCGCTTGAGAATCGAGGATCATATTTGGTGCGAAGGTATGTGTGGCGGGAAGGAATGTTCCGTGTTTTATTGTCAAGTCATTAGAGTTTTCCTGCCTGCGCCTCACAGTATGGGATCTGAGTGGACAGCTCAGGCCTCTGCATCTTCTTTACAAACAACAAACAAAATGGTGGAATTCTCCTTTAACTGCCAGCTGCTGTCGAGCCTAAAAGAAATCAATAGCACTTACATTAAATCTCCCCCACACATGATTCCTCTCAGTTTCCCTTGAATCCGCTTCATTTATTCAAACTATTTCCAGGCCTGGAGACGAGATCCAACATGTGGAGGAGCAGAAACAGATTTCCATGGGTGAAGAGCAGGCAGCTGTTTGTCCATACCAGAGGAAAGGGCTGATTTCAGCAGGATATGGAGATTTTAACCTGCAGCAACCAGCACTCTCCAAGACACCGTGTCAAAGGTCGAGTTCTTTAAAAAACAAATTCCAAAGAAAAAAAAGGAAAAATGCAAATTGCTGCATTTCCATGTAGATGACACTGTGGTGCTACAGATTTTCTATGGTTGTCAGGGGCTCAGGAGACAGTTGCTATTGGCGTTATTTGTGGTTACTAGATGGCTGCTATGGTGACCTACGACAAGCGTGTCTCCTGGTTAAATTACAGTCGCAGCACCGCCACTCAACAGGAAGCTGTGCCAGCAGACGAGTCACGTGAACGTCCCAGCACGACGTTAGCTTAGCATGAACAGGGAAAACCGCTGAACCTTAAACCCTGACCCAAAGTTCCTGATCCTCCTGCAGGTCCATGACCACCCTTCCACTAGAAAACCGACGGTCTCTGACCATTCAGAGCTGAGCCTGAACTCAGTGTGGGTGGAGCCTCAATCAACCTTATCAGCCATGTTTACTGGGAAAACTTGTTCACGCGTCACAGACTCGATCCCTGAGACTGAACCGCTTCCTCTGACTACAAAGAGACACAGGACGAAACCAGATAAATCCATGAGACTTATGTAAACTGTTGGTCCAGATGTGACAGGTTTGGCTCTGCTCTCAGTTGCCGTAGCAGCCGTACAACACCACGCTGTCAGCTTTGAAGGCAGCAACAATAGTGTTTATATCTTTTTCTTTGGCAGCTCGTGTTTTCTCTTTCCCTGCTGAGTGGACGGACTGACTCATCCTCGGCTCGGCTCCAGCTCGCAGGCTCCAGGTCCAGATCCAGATCCAGGCTCCAGGCTCCAGGCTCCAGGCTCCAGCTCCAGGCTCCAGGAGCCCAGCCTCCAGGCTCCAGGTCCAATCAAGCTCGGCTCCAGGTCCAGATCCAGATTCAGATCCAGATCCAGGCTCCAGGCTTCAGGCTTCAGCTCCAGGCTCCAGGCTCAGGCTCCAGGCTCCAGGCTCCAGGCTCCAGGCTCCAGTCTCCAGTCTCCAGATCCAGGTCCAGGTCCAGTCCAGTCCAACGAGCTGAGAACCAACCTGACCTCTGAACTCTTCACAGAAACACAGCTGCCTCATTACACCTGCTGTTTGACACTGACATGAGAACCAAACAACCACCGGGACAAACACTGGTCCTCCACAGAGGCGAGCGGGCGGTGAACTAAGCTCCTCCCACTAAAAACAGAAACTTGGCAGAAGCTTCCATTTTGGTCTCTACGAGGTAAAACTCCTCGTTACGGTGTTCAGCTCAACTCAGGAAACACCAGAGAGAAATCCCCGTCACAAACCGCTCAGTGTCTTACAGCATCATAAATTAAACACAGGGTTACCACGGCAACGGGCTCCGCGACATCCAAGAACTAGGGATGAGGATGAAAAGGTAAGAAGAAAGTAAAGATTTAGAAAAGATAGAAGAAAAATTCACATCCAGAGAGAAAAGAAAAGATGGAAGACGAAGGAAGAAAGGAAGGAAGGAGGAAGGGAAGGAAGGCTCCAGACCTCTGACCTGTCTGACCTCTGAGCTGAGAGCAGGTGTTTTGACACAAATTAATAAAACATTTAAAACACTATTAATGCCATTGATTATAAATCGTCTCTATTGGTTGAAAGATATAAACTATTTGACGGAGACACTGAACCGAGAAGATCCCGATCCTTCAGCTGAGGACTGGAACAGGGTCAGGGATTGAGACATGAAGATCTGCAGGTTCTGTTGAGGAGGTTGATGAGGAGATTCCCCTGATGAGGAGCAGTGTGAGGTATCAGAGTGTGGAGCGTGAGGACTCTGAGGTTCCCACTGACTCACTCTCTGTGCTCGAGCGCCTGTTTGTTGTGGGATCTCAGGAAACAGCAGACTGGCAGCTGATCCCAGCATCAGTTTCAACACGACCAGCAGCTGTCACAGCGCTCCTGGCTAACACCACTGCAGGCCTCTGGAAAGTGGAGCTGGAGGATGGCGGTGGGCGGAGGCGGCGCTTGGTCTGTGATTCGCTCTGTCACCACTTCTCATGTTGCGTTCAACAGCCACCACTGTACAGAAGCAGATCTGGCACATTCAGAGTTCATCTCCCAGCAGAGGAGAGCGCCACCAGCTGGAGCAGCTGACCACACGCCACAAACAGCTGCTGCTTCACTGCAGGGCTTTTAAAATCATATTTAATGAAGCTCAGAGGGTGAAAAACATTTGCGCCAGCCGCTCAGAGAAGAACCACAGACACATCAAACAGAGCTGTTGCTACGAACACAAAGATAAAACATGAACACAATTTCTCACTGTCATAGGAACCAAAACCAGACACAGAGGTATCAGTGTCTCAGAGGTCTGCAGTTGTGGAGGATGTTTCCCCTCCAGCTGCTGCAGTTTCTAGATCTGGAGCAGATCCAGGAAACCGGGAACAGAACCAGGTCCTAGATCTGCTCTGAACTGCCTGCAACAAACCAAAACAGCTTCTGACGCACAGCTCAGAGAAACCTGAAAACATGGAGGTCAAGGGCGTTCAGGCTCAAACCTTTACATTTCACATGAACAATAAACAAACTAGAAGATTGTTATCGATACTGACTGAATGAGCTCATCATCATTCATCATCAATCATCATCAGAACCTGCAGACAGTACTCGAGGCTGAGGGAGCAGCATCCTCCTCTGTGTGATTTTTAAATGGTCACATCTTACAGCAGAGTGAGTTACATAACCCTCCTTGATGTGGCACCCTCTGCCTCAGGGAGGTTTGTGTGTTCCTCTGTGGGGGTGTGCAGGCAGGCTTGGGTGGGACAGGCATGTGGGA